TATATGTATAGAAAGAGAGAGAGAGAGACTCAAACGTTTTCGAGACGAGAAATCCTCGCTTGGCTTGGCTTTGCCGGCCGGCTGGCTGGAAGTGCCGCCGACCATTGTGCCGTTGTTCACACCTCAAAGATCTTCGTCGCTGTTAGTCTGCCGCCCTCTTCGCCCCGTGACTATTCGATTCTACCCTGGGCTGCCAGTGTTACTACTCCACGGAGTTTCTCTGTTCAGGGAACAGCAAAGGAGAGAAAGAAACCTGCCGGGAGTCTTGAGCAACCTTCGCGCACCTCTGCCGCCTAGCTTGTAGTAGAGCCCTTCGTGGCTCGCGAGAGACGATAGCTCAGCAGACGACGTGCAAGTTGAAGAAATGAAGGAAAGCGGACTGAGGATTTGAGACGTTTAAATCCTCCTCATGGCGCACCTCCAAAGGCGAGACAAACACCGGGAAACTGTCGTTCCCTTGAAGTAACGGAACACCCAGCGCACCCTTGGTGAGTTCGCTATGTTGGCGCTAACCCAAAAGTGCCAGATCCTGTTTCAAGAGGACGAAAACGTCTCCCCCTGATTGTTTGTTCCGAACACTCGGACTATTTCAAAGTGAAATCATGTTAACTCGTCAGAGTCTTCTGTCAACGACGAAGTGTAGACAGCGCTTTAGTACCGACTAGAACAGGAAAGAAATCAAGCATTCGCTATGTGTTTAGATACAGTCCCCTATGGCGGAAGGAAGCGTTTTGTTTTAAACAGTCAACAGCAGCAGCTGAAACAAAAGAATAAAAGAAAAGAGCCGTGTGATTGTTTAAGGTGTTGAGTTGCGTGCATAAACAGTACAGCGAGAAACGGCGATTTAGGGTGGCGGTGAGCGATATGGAGTGAGGAGAGGTTGTGAGAGCCGTCCCACCGTTGGCGTCTACCTAAAGAACATACTGAAGTTTACATTCATGTTGTCTGCACGCCGACTGAGTTGGGCGACACGAGTCCGAACGATCGACAAATAAACCTATCTATGCTCGAGGACAGTAATCGTGCCGAACTCTGTTTGGTATTGGCATGTTCCTTGAAAGAGACGCTTCGACCGGAGCTGATTCTTTCGTTATGGAACGCATATTGTTTGACGGTACAGCGGTAGTTTGGGCATATATAAGCGATATATACAAACGACTTACACTGCCTATGTATATATATGTACAGCGACGATGCGATGGGACATGCCCACTTTGCAGTAGAGAAGCGAAATGTTTTATGCCAAAACAGAGCAAGCAAATCATAAACGAAAGCTTGTTTTTTTTAGGCTAGGTTAGCACGGCTAGTGTCTAAAAAATCCGATTTAGTATTTGAAAAAACTTTGATTTTTTGCAACTGAAATGAATGGACACCCCCCCCCCTCTCTCTCTCTCTCTCTCTCATCTTCTCTCATCTTCTCTCTCTCTCTCTCTCTCTCTCTTCCCTCTCTCTCTGTCTCTCTCTCTCTCTATATTCAAAGAAGCTATTCAAAAAAGCAAAGGTATGAATAAGTCGAGTCTAGACCAGCTATTCACTTAGCTCGATTTCCGATCTCTTTCTATTCGTATTTATTCGTAGCTTATACATTAGAAACGCTTGCAGGTGACACCGGTCCGATTAAAATGCCGATTGTTACTCGAATTAAACAGAGCCATTTCACTTCTTCTGTAATGTTACCTATAGAAGCAATTACGATTCTGTCCACCCACTCTAAGAAATTCCAACAGCCATAAACGTACCATAAAAGCCAACTAAGCAATATACGGTGTATGCAACAAAGTACTGTTCCTTGGACGACACCTTCTACCGTTTTTTCCAAGCAAGACTCCTTTCCTAATTTATCCTCCTTTAACAAAAAGTCGTGGTGCAAATTGCGAATTGCAAACTCAGTGTTATCGTTTGCTTTGACAGCGTTATATGCCAACGCATCGGTACTGGCCGCTTAATTGATTCGTTGGAATACGCAATCTACATACAAATCATTCAGATACCCTGAAAAGAGTGGCAACATAAAAAGCGCCTTCTCTATCACACCTTCCCAGCTTTAGCCAGCAACGCTTTAGCAACTTATTTGGAAGTTTGCTTTTCTGCCGGGTTTTCAGCAAATCTGCCCAATAATTATTTGGGTTTAGTGTCGCGTGAGGCCGGAAGCGGTCCTCAGCCAGCGGCAGTACTGTGTTTCGCCGCAGCTAGCGCTGCGCGGGACTCTCTACGACGGGCCGGCGCTTACGCCACCATCTCTTCCCCGTCACTGGGCCACACAGTTCATTCCAATTTCAATATATCTAACAGGCCACATTCAGCATGCTTACTACCAACCTCTGACAGCCCTGACATCCCCGCTCTGCATCCTACCAAACAAGCACCTCTGAAGCAAACTTCCACAGTCAGATCGTTAGCTGCCAAGAAGCTAGCGCTGACCAAGGGAGGCTTTGCTTTTAGCAATGCCGTCCCACACATACTCCATTCGGCACCTCGTTTCACATGCACACGCACACTCATTGGCACGCTATCACTTGCGTACAGCAGTGCCCATGCAGGATGCAGACTGGGTGTCTTCTATATGGACGTAGGCGATACAACACAAAAAATGGCACTCATCGTCCCCACTGCGTCCCCCAGCAACGCAAGGAATCTATGCTAGAGCTGTTTCCGGTTTCAGTTTCGTCATGAAGCTGACTTTGTATGTTATGGCTTTAGAAGGCGGGCTTTTTAACTTGGTTGTCGCCACCGCCGCCCGGCAGCAGGCACGGCACCCTGAACGCCTGCGTATAGTTTGTCTCATAGTTAGTGTATTGGCTGCAATGCGCATCGCAAGCTTCTGCAACACCGTAGCAGATTTTCGGTGCCGTCGTTGGCAATAATGGTGGCCGCCGCGATTCTCTATGATGCTACGAGTGTTCCTATCGGTCCATCTGGCACACGGTGGAGCCTTCATCTGGAAGAGAAAGAAGAAACAGAGTTGCGTGCGGAGGGCACGGCAGATAGTCGAAGGTTAGAGCGCCGCTATGTTGATACCCAACCGTGCCTAAGGTTAGTGGTCGAACGGGAAGAGATGCCTGGCGACGGAAGCCGATGCGTTCGAAAGGATGAGCAAGGGCGGAACGCGTTGCAGCGTAAGGGGCTCTGAACATGTCATGTACTGGATAAGGCCACGTTCCTATCCTTCTCCCCGTTTACGTTTAGGGTGTTGTGGATGCAGTCGGCGGTGGTAGCGAGGATGTTTCCGCTAGCGGTTACTTGGCCCGGCTTTCTATAGTATGTCGCGCGACATGCCGGCGCGGGCCAGCAGGCAGACGAACGCTTTGGGACATCACTGGCCTCGGCCCAGATCAGCCGAACGGCTCTTATTAACATGTCAATGGATGGCCCATCAGAAAAGGGGTCTGCTTGAGCTTGAGGAAGCTGATGAATTCTATGCTGCTGCTGAAGGAAAGTAGGCAAGACGAGCACGAAAAGAACTAGGTTCAATCAGAGCTTTGCTTTCCCCCAGGCGAGTTTCTGTCATTACTATCGCTGCCGCTTTACTCACTGTCGGCAAACGACCTAGCTAGCTGGAGTCTTGGCTATTGGCCCAATACAGAGTTATACTAGGGAGCGGAGGGGAAAACTCTGCCTTCGTTAGCTCTATGACCTCTCTTTGGGGCATCAAGGTTCTCTTCTCGTCCATCATTTCCTATCTGAATGCCACGAGTGCTGAATACCAGAACGTACAGATTCGCAAGCCGAACGCTGCCAAACCGGCAATGCGCAGCCTTTAGGGCAAGCTTCATGGCTCCTATCAGCGCTAGAAGGCATACGGGCATCAGACCTTGCATGCGCGTGACCGAATAGCGAAAAATCGACGAATACATAGACAAAGTGAGAGGGGGAGGTTTCGTTCTCTCTCTCTCTCTCTCTCTCTATATATATATATATATATATATATAAGAAGACATATATACGAGAAACTATATGGCGGCGGTCTTTACCGTAGTGCATACTATAAGGCAATACATGCAGTTCTGCAATGGAGCCTTCATCAAGCATCCGGGACTGTGCATGTTATAGTAGAGAGTTATGTTGAAGCAGCGCTAACAGCAACAAAATAGGCTTAGCTGGTCTTCAATGTGAGTCGTGCGAAGGCAGCAAACAAGTTTAACGAAGTCCACAACAGTTTGCGCCGAAGGAGAGCACGCGAGGAAGAAAAAGGGAGCGATCGGGTAGCAGAGTTTGAAGAAAAGTTGACGAGATAACCTAGATTGCCTGCAAGATGGGACCTTTCTAGCCAACTAGCGGGTTGGATGGTCTCAGTGGGTGGCCTGAACCCGTTGGGATTACTCCTACCCGTAGCCACGTCTACGACTTTCTTTCTGCCGCCAGCGCTGCCGCCATTGCCGCATAGAATAAAACAGCGAGGAAAAAAACCTGAGAAACATAGCGCATTGTGCCAAGAACTGAGAAGAGAAGCATATCAGGCCTAGTTTCGCTTTTGAAGCTTATATTTGCCTGGACACTGTCATTCAGTCATATGCAAAAATACATACTCACTTATGCAATCTGCACCCAGTCAACAAGCCTTTGTTTTCCCTTTTCCTTGTGGACTGCCACCTGACTTTCTTTCGAACACACGTGCGATGGATACGTCCAGTTGGCGTCACCTCACCGTAGCTCGGTGCCGACCTATGCGTAACGTGAGTGACTGGCACAACGTGACCTGCCGAGTACTTCGTCGTTCTCGAAACCGACCGTTCCATAAAACTGAAGTTGCAAAAAAAGCAAATGATTCACTAGACCGCAATAACAGGCGTCGGCATTCCGTTCTGCTATGCAATACACAGCGTCACGAAGTTCGTACGGCGATAAGGTCTTGGGGGTTGGGTGCCACCGTTGGAAGTCTGCTAACACGCGAACGAAGTCGGTAGGGCGAACAAGCGATCCAATGGGATTTAAAGGAGAGAAGTTTGTGGGAGCTGACAATAGGCTAGCGGTCGAAATTGATTGACTTAACTTCTAAGCCGTGATAGTCTGAAATCATCAAATAACATACTTGCGGTGCTGGCTCCCTCAATCCCTGCTTCGATGTCAGTGATTCCGATTTTACCAAACAGTTTTCCATAGTGGCATGACACCAGTTGTAGGCTTGTACAACACTACGGGAAAAAAACAAGCGTATTATATACGCTGTACCGAACGGTTCACGTCCTCTTCAAGAACAACAGCTCTTACTTACCGAACAAATCTACTTGGTGGCTAACCGGCGCGGTAAATGGAGCATAATTACACGGAAAGTCATTCGAGGCCATGTTAAAAATCCGAAATTGTTGAGTTTGAAAAAGGACGTCCGATTAATTTACAAATATCTTGAGACAACAGGAAGGCCTCGACATCCTGTAGATAGCATTCAGCAGCTTATAGAGTAGATTGACAGATACAGGCCAAGCTAGCACTGTTTAGTTAGCACTTGGACATCTTCGAGATTCTACACCACTGAACGTGTACTCGAACATAATGCAAATGTAACAAATTTATTTATAAAGAGAGAAGCTTCACGGATGGTTTGCAATGGATGTTTGACGCAGGTTGACAATAACTAGGTAATTAAAAGGTTTATTTAATTGCTGTGTTCACACATATGCAACAGCTTGTTGAAATACTCGATACTCAGCTAATAGAATTTCCATGTTTACATGTAGACGTTGTAGAAACAAAGGGGGTAACAAGCTAACTTTAGATAGCTGATTAATATTTTACTATAGAATGATTACTGCGATAATAAACTCTAATCAATGCTGACATAAGATTAATTTTAAAGCTTATAATATTTCCGCCTCACTCTCACTCACGCCAGTCTGGTTTTTCTCTCCTTTTTTTGTATAGATCGTCCTTCGGTCTCTGCCTGGCTCTCCCCATCCGTCATATCGATTGACGAGGGACCTTTGACACTTCGGTGCGACGTCATTTCCGGACACCCACCTCAGCTAATCCGAGTTCGCTGGCTCAAAGATGGAACGCCGTTTTTTGAGACGGCAGCTTCTGTTCTCGAATTATCGCCTGTCAACAAATCACTCTCAGGCGCTTACCAGTGTCTAGCACTGAACGCCGCCGGGTGGAGTGAACTCAGCGAAGACGCAAGACCCCTAACGGTCATGTGTAAGTATAAAAGAAGAGAAGGTTTTTACCATGCGATACATTTACAGTTGACTTCAATTAAGCCTTCTTACTATAAACTTCGTTTAAACGACGATGAGAAAACATGCGATCTGGCAGCTGTTTTTTCTACTCAAGGGAAGCATATTTCTATTATGTAGCCATACAATAAAATATGATAACAACCCATAATACTGTATAATTGCGTTGATTCAGAACAACACAAAGTTGCGTACTATTGCCACGCCACAGTGAAACTGAGTACATCTGTTATATTATTGTTATTGCCTTTAAAACATTAGGAAGGGAACTAATTGGGCTTTGATAGCGAGGCGTTTCTTTCTGTTAATTTTTAGATCTATTTCTGGGTTACTCGCATGCGCCTAGTACGTTGCTGTTGGAGACATCTTCGGGTTCAAAGTCCTCGAACGCTCTCGTACTCGCAAGGTTTACTAATTTACTTGGCTTGTTTTGTCGGTGTATATGATTCGTGAGCGACACAAATACGCCTCTACTTCTGGTATAAGAAACTTGCAAATATTTATCGTGGCGTGTTTTTAACTTCTGGGCCATAACTTCTGCCGCCGCTGCGTCCGCCATTTCTCAGCAGCAATCCGCTTGCTGCTTACCTAATCTTCTAAGACTTCGATCGATAACAGGCGACCGGTAGTTAACCGTGCGTAGACGTAAATTGTTAGATAACTCTTATTATGTGACATCGGGGAAACGGTGAAGGAAACGAAGCATGACTTCGACACAAGTGAACCAACGTAACAAAAACAGCGCCGCTTGCAACAGTGCACGGCCGTAGCTGATAACAACATTGACAACATCAGCTGCACCAAAAACGGCCGTGGCAACCTTCGAGAGGCCTAGGAAATACTGCACCACCAGTTGTAGCATCATCGGGACGCTCATGTTGTTAAGACCTATTCCACTACGCTCCGCCAACTCTTATCGAGCTGCGCTGCACTGGCAGCCGGGGTAATGGGGGTCTTTGACACCCCTGATAGCTTTCGCATCTTGTGCTCATCCTACAAACCAGTCCGGTTGCTACGATGAAGGCGGTAAGCGGTGAGCTGATGGGAGCGCCGTCAGCGTTTGCGACAATACAGACTAGGCAGGCGGCTTGGGCGGCATGTAGCCAATCTCAAAGCGCCGAAGTATTCTTGTACATGGAGTAATACTAATTATCTACGTAATTATCGAAAACTAAAGCCCTCTGCTGCGATGGCGAGATAAGCTTGTGGCAGTGGCAGCAGCAGCAGCAGCAGCAGCGGCGGCCTCGGCGGTAGCAATGTGGAGCATACGATACTCTCCGTTGGCTTTATAAGGTTCATTATATGGCGCAGTGGAGGTAAGTACGCTTGTTCGCTATGAGAGCGACAGACGCTTCGGTATTCTACCCTTGCCTTCGAAGCTCGACTGGACGAAGTGACAAAGCCTAAACGTAGCAGGGCTTCGATGAGGACTTTGCAGAACTAGCAGACGAAGAACTACCTGGCAGGAGACTAAGGACGAGATATAACTAGAGAGGGAAGGAAAGCGGTATTCAAATACTCGTCCCCCGATTTTTTCGTCAGTGAGAAGAGCCGTCTTATGGAATGTAGACAAGCGAAGATAGACCATAATTTCTGCTTCGCTGCGTATCCATGCTCTGTTATTATCAGATCTTGGCAATAGCAACAAGATACATATGTCATTTGAACGTCGAAGTAGCGATTGTAAACACTGTGTGTTTGTACTCTTCATATTGTAGCTTCTCATTCCAGTCAGTTCGCGATGTTTTTTTTTTTAGTGATCAACAGCCATTCCATGGATATTATAACATAGTACAAATCACTGTTGAATCATCATTGTTCGGACGGAGAGTCAGCCGTACAATTTACAAGCGAATTCCGTGCCATGCCTGACGGTGTTACCATCCGGATGAGTTATGTACGCATGCTGTTCAATAACAACAGGCGAAATTCAGCCATACGACACAGCCAACTAGGACATCGCAACTCGTGGCGGGCAATAACCGGGCAAAAGGTTTTTTGCCGCCACAGCACTCATTAGCCCCAGTTCTACTACCGGTAGCCCTTCATCCCACGTACGAGTCACCCTCCAACGAAAAAGAAAAATGAGCTACCGGCTTTTCTCATCCTGAAGCCGTAGTTGACCAGTCAGCCGCATTTTTCGTATTCTGTCTCACTCGGCGCCATTGTCGTCGACTCGCCTGCTGGTTGATTTAGCACCAATCTATCAATGAAATTACGATGCTTTTCCTTGACCTGGGATCTTCGTGTGGCCAGCTGCTATGTTGTCGACGGGGCCTTTGTAGCTGTTAGTCGGTCAGGCTACACAGGCGGATTCAGCAGCAACGCCGACTGCGGCAGAAGCCTTAACCGAAGCCGTAATTTTCTCTTTAACGAGGTAATTTATTGCATACATCCGCAAACAGCTTAGGTCTGCCCTTCGCTTCCGACGCTGTAGTCGACAAAGTACCTCCTGTAAAGCGCTTTGCTTCTTCATAGGCCTCTCAAGGGAAAACCTGACCTGTGGCTCTGATCGCTGTACTCAACCACGCCGACAACGCGCTTCGTCATATTTCCAAGGGTACTCAGCACCCCTTCTCGGTGTTTTCCCTTGTTCACAGCTGTTCGTGTTAGTAGCCCACCCGAAGAAAAAAACGGGAGAGGGAAATAAAAGGAGTTCTCTCATTGACTCAGGCCAGCGTGTGCCGTTCCGAACGAAAAGCGCTTGGCATACTACACACAGGGGAACGCGAACCCGAAGTTCCCGCTTAGCCCCTTCATCAAAGACGTGATGTGTGACGAGGACCGGTAAAGGGAGAACGGAAGGAATGGGAAGAAATTGGGAGCAACAAGGCAAGATAAGCGGGTTCAGTTCATTAGTTAGTCGTTGTTGAAGCTGCTGCAGCTCCCATTGACCGTAAGCATATGATGTTGGTCTCTGTGTGCGTGTATAAGTATTAGCCGTATACCAGTTTGAAGGACAGCATTGAGCAGGGCTGTGAAAAAAGAACGGTGTGGGGTATTAGTTGAGAGCGAAGGTAGGTTGCGCGAAGAAAGAAGTTTCCCTTTCTACGGTTAGAGAAGGAAAATCTTGTTTTCCAGCGTTTTTCGTGGCTGGTTTTCGTTCCCTACAGATCGGCTGAGAGGGGAGGTATGGAACGAGCAGGAGGTTCGACCGGTATCCAACGTCCGTCGCGTCTTCCTTTTTGTTTTATGAAGAGAAGGTGTATTTTTCTATGCCATAGCCGCAGCAGCGCCAAGGTCTGTAGCACTGACGCGACCACTTCTCTCGGGAAACTGCTACAAGGCGGCTAGGAAACGCTGGCAACAGCAGCACCAGCAGCGGGCAGCGATGTTGTGTACACTGCGGCTTAGAGTAAGTTCTACATCATTCGCACACTTGCTTTTTGCTGCGTGCTCTCTCTCCGTGTTATTCTCCGTGTCCTTTTCCCCCCTGTTGCCGAACTTTACCCTCATAGGAACTAGACTAACCTCGTCTAAGTAGAGAGTACTTTTCCAAGTCGCACACAGTAAAGTCTAGCCCAGAGTCCAGTGCGATTTAGCAATCTGCCAGCCGACAACATGATGACGATTTCCCGATACATGGAACTAAGGCAAGCATCATACTGGTTGAGAGGAACTACATCGCGAACTAGTCTTGCGTCTATACAAAGCAAACGTGGATCACTGCTACGCTAATGATGGTGTGTGCACGTTTGGTCCGCGCAGTGATCATAAGAAAAGGCTAATCTAGCTTACCCCCGCTCCTCCACTAGACCGCGGCCAATGTCTCTTCTCTTACTCAATCGCGAGCCGATATGGAAAAGAAATTGCTAAAACGGCGAAACATGAAGACAAATCGCGAGGCGGAATGCCGGCATACGCTGAACTGTCAAGTACCACCTAATGAACTAAAGGGGTTTCATCATCATATCTGTTATAAAGGCGATTAGCTACTAGCTATCGTTCTATATAATGCCGAGCAATTGAGATTGCTTATTAGTTGCGTAATCCGTGACCAAGCATCATAAAAACGATAGAGCTGAAAAGATCGATATACTTGTTTCAGTATATTTCTGCATTTCCACTGTTCAAGTATTTGGCCACAAATCCCAAACTAGGAAGAGAATCTTGGCTATTAGTTTTTTGTAAATTCCTTCTCTATGTAAATTTATCCAGAGGCATAATGCAACGGTAGTGATAAATTTCCAAACTACATGGTGAAACACAGCAAGTGAGGGTTAGGCAGTAATTATAGTTAGCATTCATTGACTTCTTTGCAGTGAACAATGTAAGTGAGTCATGTTTGCAGAACCCTGTCCCAACCCCATGATGGCGCCGTCTAGCGGTGACACAGCGGATGACGATTGATGTACGGGGGTTGGTGTGGTGCTATGATGACCGTCGCTTGATTATGCGGTTGTGCCAGTGCTGACGCTGAGCCATAAAATTATTCAAGATAGTCGTTCATTATTGAACATTTGCCCTCGGGAGACAGACAGCTAAGCTGGGCAAGCTCGCTTACTTTGTTTAGCAGCTATACAGAACCCGGTTGCCTGTTTCTCTTCAGACCGACCTCTTTTATGTGAAGTTCAACGATTAGGTTTTCATGCCTCTCTTGCGCTTTTTCCTACAATTTTTTCGTCTAGCTGGCATCGTTCGTACTGCATGTTTACGCCAGACCAGATGCAACTTCGTTGGTCGGTATTGCTCTCTTTTCTACTCTACTGACATAATAGCTGCAGATGCATATATCTGCGTCCGCTGCCTAAAAGGCAACCAAGCATAGAACAACACAAACCTAGGTATTGCTGATGTACTGGTTCCTGTTTTACTAACGCGCCGCTCGAGCGTTCGGCAACTTGGCCGAGACGGTTGCCCTTTGCTGTTAGGCAACAGCCTGGCGCGCATATTCTCAGCATCTTTGCTATGTGCGAGTGCACGTTACAGGAACGAGCATCGGCAAGTGAACAAATAAACAGACTTGCTAAGAAACCTGCCGGGGCTGAAAAGGAGAAATGGCGGGTGTCGAAGGCACGGGGGTAAAGGAAGGAGCCAAGAAAAGACGAGCGTCGAAATCTTTGGCCAGACGGCGTTTACACAGAAAGCGATTGCTTTGCTAGCGCTCTTTACGTTTCGCTGTTCGTTGTTCGTCGCTGGGGAACAGCCGTGGGGTCTGCAAACGCCGTTCCGCTATAGTGAGAAAAGGTGGCGTACCGTACGTTCAAGTGGACTCCTCGCCCGTTCCGCGACTAAAAGCAAAACTCAGGACCATATATGGGCGCATATGGGGTTTGGAAGCGAACATCTGTAGCTTCAGGACAGAATGTTCTTAAAAAAGCAGCTGACCTAAGAAGAATGGGTCATTACTGCATCTGCGCAGCGGAGCAATTCGTTGAACATGCCATTTGACAGTATACGAGCGTTTTTGTGTATCATTGGCAGCAGCGACTGCGCCAACGAAACTAGAAGCAACGCTTACTGAACCTTTCCTATCTTGTGCTACCGTACTTGCCTAGTCAGCATCTGACGGTTTAGAAAAGACGGAACGATAGAACGTCGTTGTTATGTAGGCCGCTGAGAAACGAAGGTAGAAATAAGAGGGGAAGAACCACACGAGCCACCGCGAAAATCACCCAGTGCCTGTGCCGCGCCCTGCCCTCACCACCTCTATCGTTACCCCCCAATGCCAGGGACCGAAACAGCGACTAAAATAAGTGACACCGCCTGCACGTAACTGTTTTGTATGCCGAATAGAGTCGAGCGGCACGATAGTGGACCGAAACGGACTACGTCGCTTTGTACGTGGGGGAAATGTGAGGCATCGGTAGCGAAGACCAGCAAAGCGCTATAACGGAGCACAGCGAAGTGAAATAGCAGCAGCGTAGATGGCTATGCTTGAGAACGTGCGACGAGGGGCGCTGGTGAGCGGCGAAAGCGAAAAGTAAAAGCGAAAGAAAGACTTATGTAGAAATAGAAAACGGGGTTATAGACATGTGCCAGCCGCACAAACATGGGATGCATTTGCCGGCGCTTGTGCAGCAGCAGCAGCAGCAGCAGCAGTCTTTGTCACGGTCTTTTTTTGGCTCCCGGCTGTTGAAGGCGGCGGGACAGACGATTGCAACATAAAACGATAGAAGCTACCGAATGCAGGTTACGAGTAAAATGTACATCTCTTGATGGTAATTTTGCTGGTATGAACAAAATATTTACTAGCTTAGGTTTATGTTAAAATGCATTGTATCACGCAGAGCTTTTCGTACTAACTGAAGTAACCTAATATACCTGACGATCACAAAATTTGAAAAGCCCCGACTACCACCGTCACTATAAAAAACTGAATCGAAAAAAGTATCGTTATTGAGTTAATTTAGCGTCTGAGATTTCCTCAACAACGGTTTCATTATCAAACGCAGATCGGCAGAAGTTAGATACGTCTGAAGCGTTTTTCGCTGAGGCTGACAATCCACCGACGCCCTCGTCCTCTATGACGGTCGACGAGCTTACCTAGCATTTGACTAGTTCGTTTGACCTAGTTACGGCAGGGTAGATGTCAATGCTTCGGGTTCTATACGCCACCTTCCCAGTTCGTGACCGTCGAGTAAGCTACAGAAGCACTGTGGACCGACGACCCCGTTCCTCCCTTTTTTTTTTTTTTTTTTATAGAAGACAATTAATAGTGTGTTACGACAGCCATCCATTGTGTACATCGTTAGACTAGTTGGCGCATGTGGCGACGCGTTTCTCATATCGCAGTCGTACGTTGATGCAAACTTCGTCATTGTTTTCGTGGTTGTTGCTGCATAGCAGGTCATGTCTATGTGACATCGGCTAGTTAATATTATAGCACGTAGCAGAATTACAGACGATGCGTACACAGTACAATATAGAAGACTATGCAGACAAATAATGAGCGCAATAACACAACAACGATGATTATTACTAAGCGATTTATTCGGTTACCAGTGTTGTACTTTATACTCCAGCGAGAATAATGAGAATGTAATTATCTGTTCTATTTGTCCCCTTCGGACTGACGTTATGGGCTTGATCTTTTTGTTCTCATGAACGAGCAGTAAATCGTCCAATAGGACTTGCATCTCGTTCAACCCGTCGAACTCATAGTCATCTGGTTAAGGATCTGACGTATCCGATCAGCAGTACTAAAACAGACGTAGGATTTCAAACTATAATTAGTCAATCCAACTAGTGAGCGTGGCGTCTAGTAACAGAATTCTGTGCATTAGCACCTACAGACGCTTGCTAACCGCAACACAATACCTTGTAACCTTATAGCAACAGCAATGTTTACGTCGATCGTGATAATTATGTTTATCGCGCATTGCTTTTTCTTCTGTTCGATTACATATCGCTGATCGGTTGTGTCGTGCATCCACGCGTAGATCCGCCGGGACTGTCGCAGATTCGCGTCATTTCGCCGGAACAACGGCCAGCAAAAGGTGAACGTGTAGAGCTCGAGTGTGCCGTCGATGATCCAGGATTTCCGCCGGCTGCCTCGTTCGAATGGTTCCACAATGGGACACCGGTCTTGCCTAACGCTTCAGGCAACAGCGGGCCTGATGAGATTCTGCAGAGTGATCGACTGTTGACTCCGCCACTAAGCGTTGTTAGCCAGGGCAACTATTCGTGCGCGGCCGTCAATCAAATCGGCCGGGGTTTGGCGCAAGGACTCACGCTCCATCCGATGGGTAAGCTGTGTACAGGCGGGAATTCACTCACAACTATGACAATAATGCATGCTTAATTAGATCCTTCAGGAACGACTTCCATAGGTTAGCGTACGCTGATATAGTGCTCTATCTAAATTTAACATGAACGAGGTGAAATACACGTAAAATAATTATATTGTTGTTGTCAAAAGCAGCTTCTATTCTCTAGCGAGCTCCGCATGTAACTATTTTGCCGGCACGTTGGTTGGTAAAAAAAAATTGAACTCAAACAGGTGTAAATCATGGTCCCCACAACTTTCTCTAATATATTTCTACGGGTAAGAATCACCTAGAAAGGTTCAAATATAAATAGGTTGATAGCAATGTTAATTGAACAGTAATCAGTTTTCTATCTGGATCTGCCATCGCTTATGTATTATTATACGTTGTCATATATTATTCTATCGTGCCCTCTCTTGGCGCTTCGTTTTTGTGATTTCTGAATTGATCAAGACACATTCAGACTTCCCTAACCCACAGACACAACTTCAAATAACTAGCCTACTCTTCTGTAGCCAGCGTACGTTTTAAACTGTCATCAACTTACGCACAGGGTACATGAGGTTTTTCTATTTATAGCAAACGGCGAATGCCAGAGATCTTCCTGTCCATAAAAAAGAAATGTCTCATGTGTCGGTAACGCCTATATCTTAGGAATTTAACACGACTTTATCAATCTGTCCTTGTGCTTATTAGTACCTAAGAACATAGACGAGCAGGCGTCGTAAATGACATGTAAAAACAACGACAGAACAGAAAGATGGGACACTCCATAGTTTTCATATTTAAGTCTCCACACATACGTAGCTTCATCAAGATCTCTTTGTGTGTCAGCCTCGCCAAGCGTGCCTGCGGATCGATGGCAACACAAGTGCAAAGTACGAGCCTTTTGGGGGTCAAACAACAACGTTTTATATATGTTCGTCTTGGTTCTTGTAAGATGGCAGGAGGGGGACAGCGGGTGTACAATGAGACGGCGGCAAAGACAGAAACTGTTGTCGACGCAGCACTTCCTAGGGATACTATTGGTCGCGTTTTCGGGAAGAAGCCTTCTTTTGATATTTTCGATCGACATGGCCGAAGAAGCTTGGGGAAGTGTATCCTGCTTAGAACCCGCTCGGCGGCCGTTTTGTTAATAGAGCCGCAGTAGAACGCTTCTATTATTGTCACATACTATGTTTTCTATTGCTTTAAATATGATGATGTACAAGCAGCGATAGGGAAGATTGGGTAGCTCCCATTTCCGCGGCTATTATTGAGCGGTTTGCTTTCTACACATCGTTACAGAAAGGCACTGTTACACCAACAGTGTGTAATAAAATGTATAGCGTAGCACATATATCTATGCATTTCTGTCGTCTATGATCGTTGATAGCTTCTCTAGGTAAAGCAGCCTGCCTTTTTTATAAGTATGTATTCTATTTATATCTATTACGCGAAGTAAGCGGTGGCTTAGTCGGGATATAGATGGACTCGAAAGGTCTCCGAACATTATCGTGGCATCGAGTTCCTCTTCGTCAATTCTGCAGCTGGCCCTATCTGCTACAATGCTCGAATTTCTTTCCCGGTGTTGCTCTTCCTCTCCAGCCCGTTTCCGCTGAAGTGCCATAGCAATCGGCGTACTCAACTGCAACATGGCAGATGAGTATTCCATACCGGTAAGAACGCTAGTAGCTCGAGAAAGGCCGAGTTCTGCGATGCAGGGTGCCTCTCGTTCTGCAGGTGTGTATATATGTCACTGTACTGATGCTGTATTCCAGCTAGCATCAGCTTGTAGCATTGAGCTTCAAGTTAACCAGACCCAGCTCGGTTAGGGCTCTACCTTTTCGCCACGTTTGTAGTGCGCTCACCTTACTTATATCGCACTCATGCTGCTGGATGACTCATCCAATTAAGCGTCAGCCATGATTGAGCGAACGGATAACTCGTGTAGGTTGCTTGGCTAGTTGAAACCACTTGTGGACATTAGCAACACTTTTGTCCTTTAGGGTACCCATCGCCTGAAACAAAGCGGTTCTGTGGGTGGGATTTAGCCTCGCGAAACGCCTAGCGAAACTGGGCCCACTATACTTGAATGGGACTTATGTGCCTGCTGCCGACGACCATTCCCCATGTAGCATGTGAGAAGTTTCCTGCGACAGCAAGCCAGTACTCCGACTGGCCACCAAGTGGAAATGATGCCGGCACAATTTGGAGACGGCATGCACCCTATGCACTCACTTGCAACGATCGCTGTTGTTCTGTCGTATGAGTACTGCATACAGCGTAAGGTCCGCTCAGCATACAGATGCAATAAATGAGGAAAAACTATACAAACACCGTAAACGAGACGGGAAATAAATATGAAGGTACAATGTCGCAACTGCTGCTAAAAAATGCTGGTGAATTATAATCGTTCTCGGTATATTAAAATCCGATGTAATCAGCCTGATCGTATATTTAACCATCTACAGCATTGCATACTGTTCAGACTTTCCTAGGAGAGCAACACATGATTGCTGCTTGTGGTCGATAAGGCATAGGACAAAATACAGGTAACGTCCCTTCGTTCACGTAGTACTGGAAGACGCTATCGCTTTACCCTTTTAAGGAATAGTCGTCGTCACCTTTATTATGTTTCATATGCTATAATTTTCACCGTACCATTGGGTTGATAAAAACGATGGTTTGCTTACCTTATGACACGTTGCAGGTTAAAGCCATGAAAGCGTAGAAATGGGTTAGCACGTATTGTCAACACTGCATTTTTCTTTTTCCTCTTTGGCCAGTTTTACTGAACGGATTTTCATTTCTTATCGTTTTAGTTCCCCCAGCATTTATCAAGCCATTAGCGCAGTCAGGTGGCGCTCGCGTCATGAATCACTCGGTTGTCTATCTGGAGTGCGTTGTCGAATGCGTTCCCCAGTGCCACATTTGGTGGAAACGAAACAATCGTAGCATTCATGTCGACTACGGTCACCATCTGCCCCGCCACTGGGAAAAAGAACATCGGAACCACACGGACCGCTTGCTCGATCAGCTGTTCAAGGTCCGCGCCACAACTCTGCCGGCCTCTGTTCGCCAGGGGCATTTCGCGGCAGTGAAAAGCGTTCTCTACTGGAATCTGACGGAGCTCGCCGAGACGGGTATCGAGATTGATGGCAACACCTTCACGTGTGAATCGAGCGGTAACGAGGTAATTAGACAGACGAAACTTATGAGCAGCCTCGCTAGTATTTATTGATCGAGGCCCACAAGGCCGTATTTTTTAAGACGAAGTCTATTCGGTCGCGTAAGCTGTCACCATCGAATCTCTGAGAAGTTCAGGTTTGCATTGGAGGTCACTTCGAATAATGCCAATAAACTGTACAAATCCAATTCAGTAACAAGCACAGTCGTTAAAGGAAAACTTCGATATAACTTTGATATTTCTCAATGTGATAAAATATAGTAAAATAAAATAATAAATGAAAATATTAGTTCCAATTAATTTCCTGGGAGCAACTTATCCTTCTCTCGTACAGGTGACGGTAATCTGTAAAACTCACTTTGAAACCAATCAATTGAAGCAAGAGCTTCTCTGCAAAAATGAAGTTGAAGAAACTCTACCAGGTAGAGGGCCGTCTTGAGTCTTCAGCGTAGAGTAGAGGACGAATGCGTTTGCTAAGCCATATAATAATGCACATATTGATTAAAATAAACGAACGAACGAACGAACTAACTAATTATAGTGAACTAACAAATGGTTACGTTTCGCTTATCTTGTGTATGACCACGGTGGTACTAAAGAAAAGAGCGCGAATGCAGATTACGCTATTTTGCTTGAAATCATAGAGAAGATTGTCAAAGATGATCAATAGAACGCTATTTGTCTGTTTCATCTACAGGTTGGACAGGGTATCAGCAGCTCAATACGGTTCAAGCTTGAATGTAAGTACATTGCAGCGACATCTTTCTAAACGCCTGAAAAATAAGTTCGAGGCGGATGAGCTATCTCAGCTACTCCGATTTTCATAAATGCACACTCTACGAGGCAGTATTAACACAGTATTTCAATGGGCATCAGTAACTTGAGCAAGTTCTTCCTATATACATCATCAGGCTCAGTCTCAACGTTATGTATGTTGCGCCGCGTCACTTCAGACTGCATTATACGTTGTCGTTTTTAACTGCAGATGGCCCCGAGTCCGTGAGCCTGTCGTCGGACGAGGTGGAGCTTTTAGAAGGTCACAGTTTGACGCCCGACTCGATCATTTGTTCGGCGACTGGTAACCCAGCGCCTTCCATTGTCTGGACTCTGAGAGGACGAATCGTCTCCACGGGGCCCCGTCTAACGTTACCTTCGCCGTTGAGTCGTCACGCAAGTGGTAACTACACTTGTACAGCGTCCAATAAATACGGTGAACGGAGTGCCTCAGCATCGATCAACGTCTTGCATCGGCCAGAGTGCGTTATCTTGAAGGAGGAGGACTCGACCGGAGACATCATCCTCACGTGCGAGGTCACCGCGGCTCCGCCTGTGCTCGGCTTTTCTTGGTACGGACGAGACCATTGGGAATTTTTTGTGTGGCAGACATTGTGAATGCCAAATTGTTGCGAGATATGCGCATACAGAAAAATAAACGAGATCAATATTGAAGAGTACACCTCATGTTGAATGGTTAACATGTTTGAAAATTTGGTAAATACCAACTTCAACGCGTGCGTTTCACTTGATATAGCCTGTTTTATTGTTATTGTTATCGATTAGGGTGTACGTATATCCTTAGAACAAGCAACAAGATTAAACAGATAGTCATGCGGAATCGGATGTTTGATACATTTAACATATTCGCGTTTACATCTTCACACATCGACGAATTTGTACAAAGATGATGTGCTCTTTAGCGAAGCTAGATTGACAGTTTGCATAGACTTAAGTTGCTCGTTATCATCTCGTGTTTTCCGCTGTTTTGGCATCGATAGGCATCACAACAACCGCTCGCTGTCCGAGGAGAATCTCATCGCTGGTGATACCCGTTCTGTACTCGTACTGCAACAGCCCGATTCCTTCGGGCAATATTCGTGCGTAGCAGCCAATCAAATTGGCCCGTCGGAGCCATGTTTAATTCGCCTGACGAGGCTTCCAACGCCCGCCGGTTGGGTGAATCTCTTCCTCAAAGAGGAAAACGTGCTCGTTCTAACTTTGGCTCTAGCCGCCATAGTTATTGTGGCTGTTATGGTGTTTGTAGCGCTTGCCTTTATCCGCAAAAAGTGTAAGTGCCTATGGTGTTGTCGTTTCCATTTGCTGCAATTCGACGTATTAAGCGTACCAGCTTTTTTCATCACCAGATTTGGTATCGATTTGAATGGGAAAAACTTGTTTTGTCATGGCTTCTTCTATTAGATGTGCTCTAGCTTCGTTGCGGTACTGACCGCAAGTATTATATATTTAATTCATTCTGCACTTGTTGTTGAAGTGTGACGCTATTTTAACAATTGTTCTTCTCGATTCGATTCACAGCGGAAGCAAAACCCCGAATACATCGAGAAAAGTAAGTTGAGAATGATTTCGCGGAGGATACTTATTTGATTTTCTCATTTAGTGATCTAATAGTCCCTCTATATAAACACTAATTAAGCGTTTTTTAGTGTCCGCTCCGTGCATCATCATCTCGCGCGCATTACGGTCAATTCGTCTTCAACACAAACCTAATTTCCAGTTTCTTTACGCGTATTTTAACGCTGACCGTGTGCCTAAACGTAACTAACTTCACTTTTCTATTGTCTGGTTGCCACTCTGTTTTTCCAGTGCTCGACTCGTTCTAATGGACGAGACACTACCCCACATGCGTGCTGAAGGCAACATCAAGAGTCAGCTCCTGCTGCCTGACGGCACGCCGCTGATCTTCACGCCCCAAGGCCGCGCAACGACGTTGCCTCCAGCAGAACCTTTACTGCTCGAGAATCCCTACCAAAATATCTCTGAGTACCGGACGCTCGCAACGGGTGGTCTCGCCTCACCATATGAACGCATCGGTATCACGGGCCAAACCGGCTCTGGGGGTGAGCTAGCAATCCCTCACGGAGCCAAACTTGCCACCCTTGCCACACTCCGGCACTCTTCAGGCCATCCAGGCCTGCAGGTGGCTACCGACGAGAACAATTACGCATTACCGGGCGAAGCCAGTACCATACAGCTGGCAGGGATACCAGCGCGTCTCGCGCTGTCAAAACCAGCTTCGGCCGACACTAAACCGTCCTTGACCATCAATCGGTTACACGCTGTGAATAAGGCAGATTTTGCTCGAGTGCCACTTGAGGAACGTGGGGGAGGTCTGGCAGCAGGCGGAGGAATCGTAGGTAGTAGTAGTGCTACTGGAACACAACAGCGGCGTCAGCGGACGCTCCAGCATCCCGTGCGAACGACAGGCGGCAACCTTACCAGCATTGGCACGACGACAACAACGACACAAGCTGGGACCCTTGGGAAAGGACATACTGGCCCCGGAAGTATTACCGGGTCACCATACTATGCTACTGGAGATATCGCTGGAGAAAGCGTGGCTGCGCACACGTTGCAGTCGCAAGGAACGAGACAAATCAGACGGCAAGTTGGGGGTTCAGGAAGGGTATCGCCTGGAAATATCTGAGAAGGATAAAGAGATATAGAGATAGAAAAAGGCGTTAGCGTAGGGGAACGAGATCGTAAACAATATAAAGCACGTGACGACAGCATGCAGATAGATGACGCCTTTTATTACTGTTGATTGCCGATCCACGACGATTACGTCGTAATCGTGTCTAGCGTCGCCATTTTCTTCTTATTTTGCGAAGCTGATTTCGATTCCTCTTTGGAGCTTTGTGTCTCTATCCGTTATCATTGATCGCTGACGAATTCCGCCGCCATCTTATCGAGTTCTTGTTCGACTCTAGAGTAACACGTTTTGAAGCAGAAATGCCAGAGCTTTTTGGCAGTCTGCAGAGAAAAACAGCTCGATAAGCTCGGGGCTTAGTGCGGGCTATCACTCGCCCGATGGTCGCAACAGCTTCGATCGAGGAGAGCGGATTTGATCATTGTCGGAGATGGCGATCAACCAGGAAGCTGGAAAATCTGTCCGTGTTCACGTGTGCTGGGTGTTTGTGCAGATGTCGCAATAGATGTGTATTACTATGATGGTAATAACAAGAAGAAGGTGGAATATGGGAAGCTTTTATGACTGAGTGATAGAGTTTATTGTACAGTAATTAGAAATCAAGATAATAGAGAAGATAAACTCTATATAGTGATGAAACGCTATAAGTGATAATACGAATAAGTATAATAAAAATAACGTATAGTCGACAATGGATATGATGATAATATTAACACAAATTGCGAATAGTAACAATATATAGACAAAAGTAACAACATGAGGTACAGACAAACAGAATACACACACCCATATGCGATACGCAGACAGACAAACAGATAAACAGGCAGACACAGACAGACAGATAACTAAACAACACGGAATTGAATGCTTAATGTGCATAACCACAAGGGCTGATCCGTCTCGATTGGTCAGTGGTCGAACATAACTGGCCACAAGGTAACTCAGCGAACATCATACATTGGAGAGTATAAGCAAAAACAGACGATAGGACGAAACGTACCCGTATACTGATCACACGGGAGCCTCGAAAATTATAAAGAAGAAGGATAGCGAGTGTATATGTGTGTGTACGTGAAGAAAGGAAATCTGACAAAGCAACGAGCCATTCAAATTCTACAAACAATAAGATCATGGTCGTAAACTGATTCTAGAGACGGCAAAAACAAACAGCAGGTTACTGTGGGCACTGGTGATTGAGCGATAATGTGGAAACGATGTCTGCGTACGAATGACAATAAAGCAAGCTAGAAAGGAGTTAATGTTATAGGGGTAACACTACTTAAAAATAAAGACTGATGATGATGATTATGGTGACGGCGAAGAATCGTTCAATTCATTGCTCGTCCCGGTGCTCTTGAAGGGCGGCCCGGAAATACTACGGGAGGCGCTGCGCAGGGTTTTACTATATATAGGATAAAGTTTCTTGGCAATTCCCCACCAGCACGCCAGAAGAAGCCAAATTATCTGGTAGCTAAGTTGAAGTGGCTATTTATCCATTGTGTCTCTCGACAGAAAAGGCCAAAAGCTGAGAGAAAGAAACGTACGGTGGAACGAGGGTAACAGAAGGAGTTCGACTGGCAGTCGAATCAGTTTTTGTACGACGATTCTTACAACAGTAAATCATGCTTCTGGCAGGTCGCAGCTGTCCCGAAATGCCCGGCATTGCTAGACGAATCAAGTGTCGTTGGTCACTTTTAGTTTCTCGAAAAAAACGTGCTTGCTCCGTTATGAGCAAGAAAAAACATTTAAAAGTTCGCTGAATTATCGAAAGTGACGTAAATACTGTAAAGCACAACTTATGAATGTTTCAACTATAGTACTATCATATGTGATTACTACAGATGAATATGGGAAATGCACTTATTTGTGATAAACAGTCGGTCACGCTTCACGAGCAAATACAGATCAAAGTGTATAGGAATATGGCAACCACGTAACTGGACATTTTCTCGCAGACAAAAAAATGACAGAAGCTTATTATGTTCCCTCACTCAACCTCGATTGTTCGTGACAACTATGCAAATTATCATTGTGCATGATATTCTAATTTTGTATCAGATCAGTCTGCAACGGGTTAACTCAATGTTAAGCGACGTTTCGCGCCAGCTGCAACCGCCAACGACCTTGTCGATGATCTTCGATGTTATTATATTGTCAGTGCCCACCCATGGCTTCAGTCGATACTGTACATAGTAGGTAGACGAAAAGGAGAGGCAGGTAATGGAGGACGGAAACGACAAACAAAGCAATTGTACACCTGAATATATATATATATATATGTACGCCGTAATGTCGACAGTTGCATAGTTATTCAACTAACACAGGGCAAAGTGCAGCATCGCCGTAAAAATGACACGTCGACAGCGAAACCTCAATTTTACACTTCACACGAAAGTGAATGGCCGAAAAGAAAGAATATCGGACGCCTTTGCAATATCTCCACTTACGATCTACACAACGGCAAACGATGATGTTGTAATATACTTAGGTAAAGAAGCCGTCGTCGAAGTTCAGACTGCCAATAAGGGAGATTAATACGAGATACATAGATACATAAATAGGCCAATCAGAGTAGCGAAAGAGAGTGGTCCAGGTGTACGACGAGTGACCACAAGAGCCTGCTAAAGGTGGTGCATACTTTACATCTTCAGAATTTCGGGACAAGAAGGTGCCTCTGAACGAGTCAGCTGCTTGATTAATCATGCTGAATGCATACAGATGAGTTACAACACAACCATATTACAATAGTACGCCGAAACAACGGTAACAGCCGTTGTGATTAAAGGCGGCCTCCTTCTTGGTATACTCCAGGGCAAATCAAACCTACTATTCCAAAGAGGTTAAACTCGAGTAAGTTGAGATTTCGCCAACGCTCACGCTGGTGATCCACGCCGTTTAACAGCATCTGCGCAGTTATCACAGCCGCTAATCTGTGCTGATCTGGTCAGCTGGTGATGTTCGATCAAAGAAAAACTACAGTTGAACAATAGGGGATCGTCCTTTAAGAAGAATAAACAGAGCGATTGAGGAACGAACCGACGAATGATATTCGGAATTTGCAAAAGTCCTAAGTAATTCATGTAAATTATCGAGACCGGCTTGATAAGCTGAATCCGCTGGCTGAATTGATTTTATCGAGGCAGGTGCTAGGCTTAATTTGCAGGTTTTGAAATGTTTACGAGAATCTGAAAGATGCTGACGGCAAGATGTTGTCGACGGGGGTCGCCTTTCGAGGTTAAATCAGTTAAGAGTGTATAAATATCGGCCTGGTTTAGTTGTCCTTCATGTACATTTGTGCTTGTTCTGACCGACGTTTTGCCCGCGAGTCAGGCCAACCAGCCTCCGTAAGTGCTTCAGTAATTTGCTCGTTTCCCAACGCAACCCCGGCGGCCCCTGAGATTAGACGACGCACAATAATACAAACTTCGCCCTAACAGAGGAAACAATAGCAACATTGAGAACAATACTATTAAGAAGCCGACTGTATTTCATCGGTGAGCTGTCACTCACGGTTTCCTTACGCAGCGGACAAGTGAAGAATTTATCAAAAAAGAAACACTGTCGACAATGTGTAATAATAATCCATAACAAACAGAAAACAAAGAGAAAAAACGGTCGAACAGGAGAGAAAAAAATTAAATAAATGAATGAATGTATATGTTGCCGGACCCTAAATCGAACCGGTCGTAGAAATATGACATTGTTTTTACTATAGGACAACATTAGAAAGACTACTGTATTGTTAACGTGTAGGAATATTTTGAAATTAAATAGATTAATCGATATTAGAGTGATCTGTAGACCACTGATTTAAATACGCATTATGGTGACATATTTCTTCGTACAGTCAGTGTGTTAAAAGAAATCTCTTATCGTGTTTGATAAAGTTCACGTCGTTGTTTTTTTTTTAGAAACAGCATGCGTTGAAATAAATCTAGACTTTTTTCGGCTGAAGGAGCTCTCATCGTGTTTGTCGGGTAAAAAAGCAACATTAACTGGAATTTCTATGTGCTTTCAGCATAAGAAAATGGTAATCGTACAGTCACCTCTGACCTTCCACTGTTTAGGCAATGGCTGCAGTCGAACATCGCGTTCCCTAGAAGAAGTACGTTATTCGCCACGTTGGCTCACCTATATTCTAATAGAAGAATTTTTATAATAGATTTCGATAATTTCAATAAAAGAAATAAATTCAGTTTACAATCGGGAACAGTGCACATTGGCCTTTCTTTCAGAACAACACATATTCTGCACTCAATATGGTTTGTATGAAACAGCAACAATTGTATGAAACGTACGACCCTTTATCGACCTCCTATGACCTGACAGATGGCTGGACCTGTTAAATTATCCCAACCCGTTCTTGTACCTCAAGATATTTACATGCGTATACGATTGCATGGTATAATCGACCATTTTCCAACCCACATAGGCTGCTGGAACGACAACAATACAACATAGAGACACAAATATTTCGACAGACGTCGATCGCATACAATATACGCAATATAAATGGATTACACATTACACACAAAAAATACGTAGCGTACATGCATTTTCTTTTCAATTTCAACCTACTCGAACCGCGTATTAGTCTTTCATCTACGCTGGCATCGCCAGAGAACTATGCGCGGAATGAGGAAAGCTGACATAGTTTCTATACTTGCTTTGAAACTGTAACATTGCTTTGTAACCATTCTTTGTTACCTGTATTTCCTAATTAGTTGCACTTCAGTGTCTTCGTGTCCCATTAAAACACTATTTATCTGTCCGAGTCGAATTCGGATGTTCATTCTGGTTTGACTGTCACATAGACAGGGGCAACAAGACATGACTAAGGTAATTAAAGCCATGCGGCTTTGTAAATGAGAAGTAAAACGTGCACCATACGTAATAGCATCGAACAGTACCAACTGCGATTCAAGTTAGACTCTCAGTAGCTCTAAAGCGCCTGTAGATACACACATTACACATGGCTGAGTACCACGCAGCTGATTTTCAACAAAAAAAAACGCTCAGCAACTCCCTGTGTTAGTTTGCTTCTTGTCGTTTATGTGTTAGAACTGAGTCCGTGCATGCAATTTTAAGATTTTATATATGTAGACAGTTTGTGAGCTCAACTAATCTAGTTAATTTTACCACAAAGGCGCCATTGGCCCATCCGAAAAACCTCTAGAAGACCTACAATAGGGCTTCATTACCCTCTGCTGTAAGTATTTCGTATATAACCGCTTCAAATAACCAAATGTAGCATTCCAAGACGCAAAGTTCGTAATTTCTCAACAATCTACTATCTGATCATACTTATTTGCTCCGCTCTCGCTTTCGTAGACGGAGACTGCAGTCTGCCGATTCAGCCGCCCATTCAGGCGCCGTAATGCATCCATCCATCTGTATAGTGATAATTTAGTTGTAAACACACCTCCAGTTCAATAGTCCGACCGAGAAGAGGGGTAACTGCAGCCAATGTTGTTGTTGTTATTGATAGTACAGTGTCGACCAGCAGTTCGTTGAAAAGGACCGCTAACTAGTCACTATGAGTGCGACAATGGCAGTGACGGCGGCGTCTTGCCGATGTATGTAGTACGCAGTGCGAGGCTTTTTGCAGTTCAATAATTTATTGCTATTGTGTGAAGATTGACGTTTTTCTTGTGCTGTTGCTATCTTAAGCTATTGTGGAGGTCAAGCTTGAGTTTATCTTAGTGAATGCCGATAGCTGAGGTGGTATACAGTCGAATTTTCGAGGCAGTATCTTTCCTACCTTTTTATGGTAGTATACAATGCACCGAATTGTTTTTTGACCCTTGTGACATATGAAGACCACGTTAGCAGTATGGATTCGTTACTAGATGCAGTAAGTCTGAGCAAAAGTGAGATTGTTGCAAAGAAACATTGGGATGCAAGTCAGATCGATTTGTCGCCGAAGCGAAAACGTCGCGAGAAGCTGGGTCCATCCTTGTTTGCGGCATTTGCTGGCCTATCGTTCGGTGACATGTGTCATTCGTCATCGAAATCAGCTGTCGGCCGCACCGCTCCTGGAGTTCCGAAGGAACGCTTTTTCGGGGTGCACATAGCAGGAAACAATACGACAACATCGAACTCGGACATGGATTGTTAGTATCCATAGTTGGTTAAAACCGATACGAAGGCAGTGCCCGTGGCTGCAGACACATGGAAGATCTGAAGAATAGCTTAGCACTTAGTTGATGCGTCGTACTTAATCATTGTATAGGAGGGAAACTAATAGAATTGTTCTCTTACGGAAATGGGTATTCTGGATAGCAGCCAATAATAATATGAATACAACTATTCAGAGATTGGGAGCGGAAGATTACGATTAAGGATACTGTACGGTTTAACTAGATCTCAAAAGAAACTTGAAAAAATCTTGGCTAAGCTTATGAGCAATAGTTTATAGAATCAACTGTGTTTCATGTAGAATAGTAAACCGCTAAAAATATGATAAATCAGATTTATCGTATGTTCTGCACCAGTCTTTGTTATGAACTTGAAGGCAAAAGAAAGTGTTCTGTAAGTTTTTCCTCCAAGGTTATTGACTCTGACGAGTTTTTTTGTACTGGAGCCGGGCTATACTTAGCTGCTCGTTGTTTGATTCGTGTATCTCTGTGTTTATCAACGTCCATATACTACCTTCACAGCAACGCCGCCGTATATCTTTAGTGACCTTGCGTCTGCGATACAGTTCTGTAAGCGATTCAAAAAACAGGCTCGCTTTCGAGAGTTGTCGTCTCGCGCGGCTGCCGAGCAGTTTTCCTTGAGAGGTGACGTTCCATTAGCGATTGATGGAATCGATGGCGAACAACGAGCTGAGAATGTACTGTTGGCCGGCAATCTCGGAAGCCTTTCATCTTTGGGTCAAGCACGAGAGGACAAACTCAAATTAATCGGCGAAAAGTGTGCGTTCAGGTAAGTGATATTTTTTTTTAGAAAAACGTAATAACGACTCACAGCTTTCAAGTCTAGTATTATATCCGTACAATCGTGTTTATTTGCTTGTGGCCGATGCCTCTTAGATCGACCTTTGGAACGAAGTTTTGAATTACAGAATGTATTTACACCAAACTTATCAGAGGCACACAGAGGATTTGTCAACGTTTACTTCGCGTCTCAAATTGAAATGTCTTTTCATGTGGTTTGGTATGTTAGTGTCTCCAAAGCGTATGAACTCTAGTTTGTGAATTTAAAGGAATTAATTTATTCTCCCAAAACTGACCTGTACCACCAATTTGACTTGATGGCAGGGCTCCAAAACCGCAGGATCTGGTTCGATTACGTAGAGTCGTTCTGGATGATGATCGCGAAACGCTTCGGAGCAAAGTATGGGACAACCCTCGTCTACTCATCGGCAGCGGTGATAACCCCACCATTGTGCACGAAGGGGCCAGGTGTGATAGTGCACCTACGTAGCAAAATGTTGTTTAAAAAATGTTTTTCTTAAATTCAGTCCTCTTAAATTTAGAAGTTTTTACATTTGGCTCGTATGCACGAGCAAATTATTCAGTCAGCACAAAACTAAAGTACCGCATTTTTTGTTCTTCTATTAACTGCAGGTATAACGTCTTCCATTGCGCTGCAAAAAGCGGTCTACACGAAGTAATCGAAGAACTCATTCGCCTGCTTCGAAGCGAGACCCTTTTCCGGAGGCTTTACCCAGAAGACGATCAACAGACGACCAAACAGCGCATGGCGTTTCTACTTGGCCTGTATTTGAACATTCCAGATAAAACCAAACGAGGTACCTGTTACGAATTCAAACTGTCAAAACTAATGGATTCCATCATGGCTATGTATTCACCTGTGGGAATCGTGCTGAAATTGAAAACTGATGACTTCCATATTTCGCTTCCGTATCCACTTGTACGTACCACGGAGCTACGTAAACAACGATGGATTTAATCTAATCACATTGTTTTCAACCTCTATTCGGCGTGTGCTTTCTTTCGTCTGTTTTTTTTTTGCTATTTTTGGCCACTCCAGCAAATACCCCGCTTCATTTCGCCAGCGCTCTAGGGCACGTTCGCTGCGTCGAAGTTATGGTTCGTCAACCCGAGTGCAATGCTAAAGCGGTAAATGGAGACGGTCAGACACCCTTTGATATAGCTGGTGACAATGCCACTGGTACCGCAGAAGACAAAGAACGTGCCGCGCTTGCCATCAGAAAGCTGCTAAGTGGTGACAAAGTTGTGATCCCGATATTACGGGACGCAATCGACCTCTCTGAACCCGAATTGGGCTGTCCGCTAGTTGCACATAGCCCCAGCTTTGATTACCACGATCCACCATCGCCCGCGGCGATGCGCCAAGCACAACACTCTCCAACAACGACCGGAAGGAAGTCTCCTGCCGCATTTATTGGACCAGTCTCGGCGATTGAAGCGAAGGAGTTAGCTGAACAGCTAAAAAAAACGAAAAGAGAGTCTGTGCAAATGCGACGAACAGACCCTGACAAGGGTATAGAGGCGACACTTCGCACTTTGGCACGTCAGCGCGGCTTGGGATGGAACGAATTCTGGCCATTCCTTAACAGTTGGGCGGACCTGTCGAGCGGGGCGGGCCTTGCTATCTTCGATAATTATCTCCTTAGCACAATTCGAGCCGGAGTCAGAAAACACGACCGTCTAAACAACATCAGTGATGTAAACTTCAACAAAAACCTTCCGACCGGCCAGTACGGCATGGTGGAAGGTCGAAATGGCGTAGACAGCAGCGTAGAGCAGGTACCTAGCATGCAGACTACTTCCAGTCTACGAGTCGTATCATGGTTGGACACCGCTTATATATATTGGGGCTTTCTATTAAATGCAACCTTTGATTAGCCAGTCGACTTTAGCTGGTTGTTAGAACTAAAATATAGCTTTAGCTTACTTATAAAATTGCTTTTTAACCAATTGAAACCAACACCTATATCTTCTACCAACAAAGAATCCCTAAGAGCAGCTGACGGAATCAATGGAATGTTTGACAAGTTTGAGAGAAATATAAGTATTGTTTTATACCAACTAGTTGTAATTTTCTGTCATATTTCAACTTTCTCGTTTCAGATGGATGCCAGTGATAAAGTACAAGATCAGTCAGCTACAACAGAGCTAATTAAACAACTCTACAATTTTATAAGTACATATCAATAATTCGCTACATGACAAACAATTTGTTCTTTTTTTTATTTTCGTGCATTGTTGCTATCGCGTTTTTTAACATTAACGACCTAGGCTACGAAGTACTGTAATATTAATTGGTATGCAAATAAAGCAAAAAACTGAATATTGTGTTTTTGGGTGTGCTGCCATTATAAAAAGTTTCGCATATTAGCGACAAACAATAATTGAGTTTTTCGTCTTTGCCTTGGTTTCTTCTATTAGATGACATTCTCGATGATATCCAACCACTTGAACTACCTAAGAGTTTATTCGAGGCTTTACCTCGATCCGACCATATTACAGCAGCAAATGATGTCGTACAGAAACTGTTCATCTCACATTACGAGCGGGCACATGTGTGCAGTCATTTAGCTCATATTATGGATAGCTCAGCTGATCCGCGACTGGACTGTGTATTTAGTGCGCTTAAAGGCGCTCTTGAAGGCAGAGGTGAAGATAGCTCACCTTGTGGATGTTCGAATCTAGATGACGGTCGTTCTAGCGGCGATTGCCAATCAGAACCCGAAGACATGGATTATTCTACGACTGAATCGTCACGTGAAACGCCCACCCCCGAGGAACTTTCCCGTTTAGGTTTCATAACTGGGTAAGCAAACGATCATTGCTTTTAGGCTATTTACATGGTATGCCTTGCAGAGGACACAAACATCCTAGGTTCGTACACGTCGTGGATTTTTGTAAATGGTATTTAAAATAGAAGGTCAGTAGTATGCACAGAGTATGGGGCAAACTCGGAAAAGGACTGAGAATTGTTCGTTTTTTTTCAGTTAGAACATATATCATAGACGACGAATGTTTTCATTCTGCCATCTTTCTTCGAAATCAGAGCTATGGAAACTTTAACTTGAAATAGTCAAATCTAATCGTGTTCTTGCAAATAGTTATGTCTAGTTTATTGTATATTATCTATATGTAGTATATTATTTAATAGATTTAGTCCTTTTATTATTTTAGTTTGAAATGTGCATTTTTGCGATTCACTTTGCTCCGTTTCCTTTTTTCTTTTTTTCTACTTTCCAATAGCCCTTTACCGACCCGAACCGATTATCAAGTTTGGTTAGCCATCGAGCCAGTTCGTCGCTTGCCAAGTGAAACATGTTTTCCCTGTGTACACCGATGGATTATTGCCATGAGTTGTTTCCAAGAGGACCAAATGCGCGTATGGAAAAGCCCGCAGGTGTTCCGAGGACGGGTGTCACCCCATGTACAAACGCCTCGGCCAAAATTCTCTCGTGCTTTGGGAAGCCCAATTAGTCCACTTAGCGCGCAAACTTTCGCATCGCCAGTTGCTCGTGACCCAGCCCGTATGAGCTTGCTGTCGATGTTTACATCACCAGGCAAAGAATGAAGAGCGCTTACATAAAAACGGACTAGAGAAATGTAGTGAGGGAGTACACTGTAGAAATGTTTGAAGTCATTAACAGCTTAGGCAAAAAAAATTGATGATGCATTATGAATAATTTACCGTGCTACCAGACTGGCCGGAATGTTGGGACTGTCGTATTTCATGTGTTCATTTTATAAAAGAATGATGCCCTTATATCTGTTGATAAGGCAATCGATCTAAATCCACACAGTCCAATTTGTATATCGATGTAACTGAATTATTTGCCTGGACCCCTGTTTGGCTCGTGTAACTTGTACAGTTTACGTTCTTTTGTAAAACAATTTGTCAAAAGAAGTTGTCAAAAATATGATGCAATGCCTAATTACAGACCTACGCTAATTACGAGTGTAGTTACATAGTAAAGTCTTTTTTTGGAAACAAGCGAAAACGTTTTTTTTTCATATAAGAATACAAGTCGGTGCTAGTCAAGTAAAAAAAAACTGTACGCATTTTATATAATATAAAATCCATTATACATCGCGTCCCACGAAAAAGGAAATCATACTTATAAGAGATAGTGATTGGATACGACGTACGAAATAATAAGTTTTACACAAAGCTAAGTTTTTTAATAGAATCTCTTTTTTTTGTATATTAAGCGATTTGTCGATAGTAAATAGCAAATTGTCCAACAATTTCCACCCGTTGTTTGGCGCTTTTTCGATACAACACGGAGATTGTAAATAATAGAGACTACTTATGATGGCGTGGCCTGGTTCGAGCGTGAATTTTTATCTTCATCCGAGACTCGGAATCACTTAACAGGAAAATTGAATTCGAAGGCTTGAACCTTGGGTGTGTACAATAATGAAAAAAGTACTAGTAAGGGTAGCTTGGTTGATATTACATTTCAACGACCAATTCAACCAGACACAATCAATTTTTGGCCATGTAATGTTTATTGCTGGCCACTGTTTTTGTGATATATGTTTTATGATCGATTGCCTATCACAAAAGTATCAGTGTGTGAATCCCAAGCTTCTCCTCTTGCAAAAAAAATATATAGCAGTAAAAAACGCCACATTACGGTCGCATTGTTGTATTTTCTCGATATGTTGTCTATAGACGCGAACGGCTAGAGGTAATTTGGGAGCCGAAGTGAGCAAAATCAATTTTTATGAAGAATTGAAAATTAAGACAAAAGAGGAAGAGCTTTGTACTGAAGTAAATGTCCAATTGCGCCAGAGTAGTTTATGATGTGCTTATTTGATAAAAATAATAAAGATGGCTGTTATGTTTGATGATATCAATTGTCACGTTTAATAATAATAATATTAATTATAATTATTATTATTGAAGGTCGTGTCTTTTTAAATCTGATTTCGGTTGAATCTGCCTTCCTCCATCATGAGTTGAGCTTCTGATGGAAACCGAATTTTGACAAGTACGGGAAAAATGAACATAAAAAAATCGTAAGCTCTTTAACATGGATTTTATCAAGCCAAGCAATTTTAATAGCACAAGCTTATTTAGTATTCACTTCAGTGAAGTGAGATCGAAGTATTTTAAAGAAAAGGTATAAGCTAAGTCCTTGCGGCCGTCCGAAGCTTGAATGCAAAATTAGTATTGGCCGTGATGTGAGCTTATACAAATATTTTTCCATAGTAGAATAAAAATTTTCAGAAAGCAATTGATGTTCTTAATTACTAAAATCTAGAACGAACCTTCTTGGGCATAAGACCGACATTAAAATCCTTAGACCTTCAATCGTTTCCTGAACAGAAGCCAATCAATTTAGCACAGCCGAGGATTCTATTGTCAAGCATAGCTATTAGGCGCGAATAGCCCTCAATGAATAACAGATCATTACACTTTCTTGTATTCATACAAAGATTTTATTGGCTGACATCGGTGTAACATTCATGAAACAGTCCAATCCACGTCGTGATCAGCCTTCACTATCCATTGCAAGCACTATTGAACACGGTAGACACTTCTCTTATATCTAGCATTGATTGACACCATATGAGTTGTGGTGCGCTACCTCTTACTCCTTACAATTCATCCTAGAGAAGCACAACTTTCATGACGCCTCAAACCTAATTACTCCCGTTTTGACTTCGATAGCAACGAAAGTACTTAATTTCAACGTTCCATTCCCGCACGCAACTCTCATTAGCTAGCTGTCAAAAACTGCAACGGACATCGCCGCGAGACATAATAATAGTAAACTTTAGTCCTATTTTGTCGTCTTTTCTAACGTAAACGGCTGCTCACAAATTCCTTTGAAAGCCTACAATATTCTCTTGAAAGTTTCCTATGCCATTAGCCAAAAATCTGTCAGTACCCTAAAAAAAATTGCTGAATGGTGCATATGCCCAGCCACCTCTGCTAGATCAATAGCTGCACTTATTTAACTCAAATCTTTCCTCTTTCCTCTAAACATTTCAAAAAATTCATACTTCGCCAAAAACCATGAATTAGTCTGCGTGAGCTTGCGTTGCTACCTAAGGTATATACAAAGAGCCATCGGCTGGCCCAAGATAGCCGGTGGCAATAAGCACAACGTCAACAAGTGTCCAAACGCCGAGTCCCCCAAACGAGAAAAGCTTCCCCACGCCCTCCTGCCACATTCCGAGGTAGAATCTATCCACGCCGAAACCACCTAGAACCACAGAGAGCAACAACGCCGTACTCCAGCTATAGCCACGAGTCCAATTGCATAATCGTCGTTTGAGAAAAACCCGCTTGCCAAGGCAGATCACATCGGGACGCACCGTACACGAAGCTGTGTAGTATTGTCGAGGTGCATGGGTAACCTGTATGGACGAAAACGATCACCAAAAAGCACATGGCATTACCATATATAACAGTTTAAATACAGTGATTAGAAGGTATCTGATTCGCTTTTGAAACATCAGAACACCTCCACGAACCTGTCATGTTGAATTCCCCCTCAGGGAAGTCACATATACAGTTATACTTATTCGAGAAAGCTTTCGAAATCTTAAAAAATAATTCTCTGTACGATTTTTGAGGTACTAATACGGACTCATTTGAATACGCATGCAATGAAGGTAAACTATAAGCAATGCACCATCTACCTCTAAGATGAAGCGGCCTGTATTACTACACGATGCCACCTTATTTAATAATAACAAAGCCAGCTCACTATACTTACTTGACAACTGCTGTTATGTTCACAGATGTGCTCCTCTGGGGGGGTTTGATAGCAGTAACGACAGATCATGCTTCGTTTTCGGAGGCTGCTCTCATGACGGCAGTCAATATTTTTCTTTGGCGCACACTCGACAATGACGGTGCTCCCATAGACGCATGTACAATTGAAAAAGCAATCTAAACACTCTCCTGGAAGACTATCGCAGCCTGTCTGGCGGGCTAGCTCAGCGCAATATGCGGGCAATACCGCCGAAGTGAAGGATGATGGGGTGTGCGAGTTGACAGAGGATGTCTGGCCCTGCGAGCCGGAATTCCCTGGCCCGACCGCTCCAGTAGGCAACGGATTGAGACTCTGAAATAACGCCGGAGACGCTTTGCCTACTACGACAAGACCGAGGATAGCAGCGCGCCACATTGTGCACTTTAGCCACGTCATTACGCCATTGATTGAAATTATTGATGCCAGAAAGAGGCACTAAATGGTGCTGAAACGCAAAATATTTGGCACAACGCTTTATAACAGCAGCTCAGCGCGCTCATTTCAAAATGTAATCGTTTAGAGGAGTGACACTGAACCAAAATAACATCTCCACATGTTCTCGAACGCGTAGGCAATCATGGAATCAGCAAAATTTTAAACTAGAAAAACATGTAGTAAAGGATCCATTAATTGTGTTATGTACTTGTCAAATTAATGTGCACTCAAGTAAATCCCTAAGAGAAGCGGTCTGCAACATAATTTCTGAACAGAACTTTATTCTATCATCGATATCTGCGTAAAACACGTAATCACACGATCAAGCATATTTGTTCTCACTAACATATCAGTAGTCTTACACATCCGTTCCCGATACAATTGGTATATCGCCAATCAGATACAAATATTTCACTCTTATTTTTAAGAGGATTATGGTTCTTTTTAGCTGAACGCAGCAACATGGGAATATAGATTACGAAATTATGCACATGGAATATTCCATTATATCTCCTTTTATAATATTTCACCCGTCGAAGAGTTATTTTAAATCTCATGAAGAGCTGACTGTCCTCTAGTAAAATGTACATTATTACAACAACCTATAATCCTATATAATTATATGCTTTTAAAGGCTTATGAAAGAAATTGTCGTTAATTGTCCATCAGCTTCTTACTTTGACACGATCTACTCACGTTCGCTCTATGCCATCGGCAATTAGATTTATTGCAATTAGATGTTAGAAAGAATAACAGGAACTCCTTTGTTCAAAATACATATAATTACCTGTAATCACAGTACGTTGCATCAGTAACGAGCTCACGTAAATGTCTCATTCCTTCGATTCTTACGAATATTATATTTAGTGACCTCTAGTTTCAGCTTATATTCCTCCTCTTTGTGATTTTCACTCAGCTGTTGCTGACCGGCTATCATACTCACTACGCGTCATAAAGATGCGTTCATTCAAACGACAGACGCATTCTCGGGACCTTAAATCACGTTGGGTGCCGTAAGCCGCGTAATAGCTTGATGGGTAACGTATTTACCTGCTCATCTCAAGGGCATGCTGTGGTCTAGGTTAAGATCCGGGCGTAGACAGATTTTTTTTTTTTTAGCCAATGCCTAGATTGCAGTTTCTAATTAAAATAATTATAACTAAAATATCAAGTATGGCCTTTTTAAGCTTAAGGTACGATAGTGAATAAGGAAGTTGTAAATGCGGTTGTTGCATTAGGCGATCACCCTGCTGTTATGCGACGAGAAATATTTGAACCTCCATGCTGCAAGCACGAAATTACGTGATTCCAATACGTCTGTAACAACTACGATTATAATAATCAAAAGATAATATTACTCATATAAAAATATAGATCCTAACAAACAATGGTATAGTACATACAGGTAGAAATAGTTGCACATACGACTATACATACATTTATAGCTTTTCAGTTAGTATAAATCATTGACTACTAGTTTTACCCACGCCTTTTTTACATATAGAACGAATAGGAAAAGTTGGCATGCGCTATGTCTTTTTTGATGTCAGCGCGAATACGATATGATATAGATGTATATTGTATGTATATAATAGATGTATTCGAATGAGAGAGCTATTTAATTATGCAGTATGGATTTTTTACACCAGCTGCTAGCGTAATCTAACCATGGAAACTATTTCTGCTAGCACTGACCGGCAATACCATTATTCTAAAAAACTTTTGTAGATCTAATTTTTGTAAATCAAATACTATTATTTTTCGGAAAGGCTAGAACCTCTCAGCATTAGTATAACCGCTAAAAGCCAGTGTCCGTTACGAAATCTGATGGGGATTAGAAAGAAGCCGTAATAATACAAACGAGTTTTAATAAACACACATCTTCACAACAGTATGCATATATAATTTTTTTTTTATTTAAGTATGCATGCCTAGTCACACAACCCTACGCCCACAACAATATTCATATTTGTGGCAAAAATTGATTTCCCTCATGAATTGTCCACCTGGAATCAAAGAATTTGTTTAGATTTACCAAGATGTCTTTGAAAAAAATAATAACATTGAAATTATAACAAAATACATACAAATTATGGAAGTAAAATGTTTGTCTTACTAGAAGCATTAGATAACTAGAAGCATTTATTTTTGAAGGACAAACTACGCACGCTTTTTGAGTTATACGCTATTTTAGTCATGGTATGTGATTAAACTGAATTTGAGTGTATCACTGTCATCTGTCACTTTAAACACATTGAACTTAAACAGCATAATTCTTCCACATTAAAAATAATAGAATACCCAAATTTTATACAGAATAATTCTTAATTTACAGCATTTGTGCGGAACATATATACCTTGGTCACATCTCTCTTCTTAATATTTCGCAGTTGCTTTTTCTTCATACGCTTCATCTTTGCTGTATTTTTAATTACTGATACAATCTGAAATGAATCAATCAAATCAAACAACACATGACAAACACGTTCAACACTATCTAGGTAAACTGTTTCCGTGTTGTTACTAATCCAGCTTTAAAGCACGCTTAAAAAATGACAATTTTACGTTACAACCTTATGCAGAACCTGAATGAGTATCAATCGATTCGTGTTGGTCCGCGCTGATACCAATAATCAATTCGTTTTGTTATTAGATATACCGTCATTATTATGGCAAGCTATTGCCTATTTCACTATTACCTAATATAATTATATATAAAACACTAAACCCGCGAATACAATTATTTGTTAAGGCCCCCTTTTAAACTATGTAGCAATTCTATGGTAAACGAAACTGTTATTTACCTCTCCTTTACGTTCATTTTCTTCCCGTCGCTTTCGATTAGCTTCGCAGCTTCTCCGTTTTGCTTCACGTCTAGCGGCATTACGAGCAGCCCTCTCCTTTTCAAGCTCCTGCAATTGAAATGCGAATTTTTTTTCCGTTCCCAAATAGTATTACGATGTCGACGCGTGGAAACGCAAAAGATGCGTTCATGCGCACTTTGCTATAAAAATGGGTGGTAAGTGATTGGATCAAATGTTTAATCGAATGCAGATCTATTCATATTGACCTGCTTAGAGATACATGGTAAGAGCTTTAAATTTGGACAATATAGTTGAAAGTACTCAACGTCTTCGTGCTCAGTTAGAGGCATGACAGGCCTTAACATACAGTATGGTGAATCGCTCACACCTAGAATAATGTAAACTGTATCCTTACAGTTTTTCAACTAATCCTAAAGTCCTTGTAGTCTACTTTGCTTTTCTTTTAAAAGTCTCCCATTTAATCCTCGATGAATCTGGTTCTGCTGTTTGTTCAGCAGCTTTTATAACGTAAAATATCGATATTTGGCAAGCGATAAACTTTATAATTGCCCTTGTAGTTCATCAGCAAAGCGAGGCTTAGACGTATGCGTGCCTCGTCTCATGCTGAAGGTCAGTCGTTTGAAATGATGTTTAATGGCAGCACCGGATACAAAATTCGAAATGTTTTTATATTAGAAAGTCGTTTGGCAAAAAAAGAACAATAGCAGGTTATCTTGGCTTATGTTATAGAGATGAATCTACTATTGCTACCATGATGAATATAGACTACTTTTTAGAGAACCTGGCTTCCTTCTAGCGCCCACAATAACGGATAATGGCGCAGTAAGCTGAGAAGAAACATACGGAGGTGCTGTCTTAGGTTCGTCAACGCGCTTACTTTCAAAACATTAATCCTAGCAAAAGAAGATATGTTAGACTCGATATCAAAAATCCCATTAAACAAAAAAATGAAAAATTCAGCTTCATGATTAACACTTACCCGAATCTTTTTGCGTTGCAAACGTTCTTGCATAGATTTTTCGAACGAAGTCTTCAGTGGTTTTACGGCTATCATCGATCTGAACCGTTGCTTCGGTTGTTTCCATACTCTGCAAACAGGGATATGGAGCGAATTCATGTGGAGTGATCTACATTACCGTAAGGTGTTTTCGATTGTTTAACATCTTTCAACATTTGCAAAGAAAGCATCAGAAGATAAAATCGCTGTTTGACTATTTTTCCTTTTGCTCCTAAGAGAACTTTATTTAATTCTAAATGTCACGTTTTACCGTTTTAGAGAAATCCTATGATACAAATTGTTCGAAATAAATATCCATATTTCCACTCTGCTTCGTGTTAGTTATCACTGACAATAAAGACGGATAAGAATTAGGTGACTTTATAGAAATTTTGTTATCTATTTCTGCATTTTGGCAGATGTTTAGATATTTAGAATTCGATGGGGATAAAGAGAACCCCATGCAACATCCATTGGGCTCATAAAAACTAGCAGTTGCTGGTTCAACTCCTGCTAACAACATAAACTGCATGACAAAGTGTAAATTTGTGGTTGAGTAAAAAAAAAAGCGCCCTTTATCGATGGCCGGTTAAAAACGTTTATGGAAGCGTTACTGGTGCTAATTAATATTGACGACGGTCTTACCTGCCGGACTTTGGCACTCCTCTTGGAATTTCACGTTTATTAACAGAATCCATAATTGTTTAGTTTTGCTGTCCTATCGAAAAAATGAATCAGTATTATACAAAACCCCGCGATTGTTTTTTAATCGCTTGGAGCTGAGCAAAGGTGGGAGGCGCCGCGACAGAATCTCAGAAATGTACAGTCGCAGAGAATGCTCCTTTGCACTTTCCGCACACAGTCACCTAATGCGCTCTTATGGCACAAACATCAAAACAGAACATCGACGGCTTTCACGTGCGTCGGATTGTGTTATAAACAAATGGCTGATGGCACTGATCCATGCTTGTATACTTAGAAACTGGCTTGATGGGCGATCTAAAAGAAAGAAAGAAGGAGCAGCAGCCCGTCAACGCACACCTCTTGGACTTATAATCGACTGTAAGGAAGGCGCAGACAATTATTCCCGTGAAATATATTCGTTTATTTATATTTATATACATGTATGTATGAATTCGGCTAAGAATAACCAATGCCTAGACATATATGATCAGAAAACGAACTATGCTTTGTTTCAATCATTTTTAAAAACGACGCATGTCAGCTTTAGTGCAAAGGTTCCACCCAGGAATATTTTCGGAACGTAACCATTATAGGACAACCGAGAAGATTTTTGTTTTTCAAGTTATTGATAACGCCGCGTATATTTTAGACTTCCCAGCAGATGCGGGTCAACTTGGAAATATGCACCCCTAGCCTATTTATAGAGGCTGATGTAGGATCTGCATCAATAATAGCTATTCGCGCATTGCAAAATCAAAATTTTCACCAAACAAGAAGCCATGCTTGTCGACAAAGAATGCATGTGGAACTTCTTGAAAATTGTGTCTAAGTATAACGTGCTAATTTTCTGCAAAGTAAAGACATGTTTTACCGAATAGATATTTGTCTCTGCCGCTAAAGCTATATTTTGGAATAGAGAATTTAGAGCAAACGTCAACGTTTGAAGTCAACTGATATTCAATGTTGCTGACATGTCATATATGATGGCTATGCTGTAATGTGGCTCTATTGTAATTAGACTATTGCCCATATTTTTTAAAGTATTTTGGAAAGCAACTCTTCTGATGGCTTTTTGGTCTTTGAGCGAGCGTTTTTTGGTAGGAGCACTCTCATCTAGATACTACAGTGATCTTCACTACAATACAAGATCATATTAAAAAAATTATGCAAGCACATAGTTACTTGTTAAACCCTCCTTTTTTTCGCCTACACTCTGTGTACTTGCTACAGCAGTAGATTTCCAAAAACGTTTTATATGTGAAAAAAATCTAAAACAAATTACAAATACTCTAGAATATGATACATCAGATACCATTATTGATAATAGCATACTCCACAAGAGGAATTATGTCTGCCGCGAATGCATGTAGAAATGATACTTCCAGCCGCCTGTTATTAAAAGAGCAAATGAGTTATGACGATCTAGGTTGTCTGTATGTGATGATCGATTGTAAAAGTGTCCAATGAAAGTCTGATAGTTTTTTTGGGTGACACTGTAGGGCTATTTCTATTACTGAGTCTATAAGAACAAGCATATTAGCCACCTGTTACACAAAGCAAAAATGTGAACTAGTCCCTAATATCTTCTCCTATTTTTGTTTATCTGAATACCGACGACTAGGAAATATCGACCGCATTAAGCTTTTGCTTTGGATATTAGAATCATCTGGATGTTAGAGCTCAAAACTCAAAAGATGATATTCTTTTACAGAGACCATTCACCTAAAAAATAACAGCCAACACGAAAATACTCTCGAGCATATTGAAAGAAAAGAATGTTGAACTTTTATCAAGTTGCAGCTTTATCTCAGGGAAACTAATATTGTAAACTTTTCCAGGATATATGGTGTCGTTGCAGTTCGTACAAATATACATGTTCGCAACGTAGCGTGTCTATGATTCTTTGTTACCATCATTTCATAAATTTCCTTTGCTTATGAAGCGAGAAATTATGAAGCTAATATGAAGTATTTTCTAGAACCTCTATTATCGTCTCAATCTCTTCTTGATTAGCCTGTTAAATAAGGCGAAGTGTTTTTATAGGTGACTCATGAAGTCGCCATTCGTCGAAACTGCCCTCACAATAATCGTCTCCTAATAGACGGAAAAATGTACATGCCACTCCGATACGTCGGTGCGGGCAACGTATGTGTGCAATTGATTTTGTTCATATAGTAAAACGCTTTTGCTGTGCTTCCTGATCAAGCAAGCAAATTCACAGATACAGCGTACTAATATATACCAACATATGGCAGAAGGTTCAGCCCAAACCTTGTGTGGCTATCATATCATTTGAAAAAATCCAGCTCGTCTTTCTCTATATCACGGAACTGGCAAAGTTTGGACCACTTTGTTCCCGTTGTGTATCTGTAGTAAGGACGTCGTCTGCTACACAAAGGGAGAGGGGTTAGTTTAGCTTTACTGTTTTCCTCTGTATATCAGATGTCTGTCTGTCTATGCTTTGGGCCTTGTCTCGATGTGTTCATTCTCTCAGTAAAATATTTTGCGAGTGTGTCTGTAAAGCCGTATGTTAGCCTTTCTCTCGGCCTACCGTTCCGGTACTCTGCTGGCTGAGTACTTATGTGCGGATGTGTCGCCGTGTGCCATGATCATCCCTAAGAGCAGTCTATATTTGCTATACTCTCGCTGCAATTGGTCCTTCCCTGTAGTGGTCGTGCTACTGCTGCTGCGAATCTGGCAGCAGCAGCATTAGTAGCAGCAGCTGCAGTGTGTGTATCGGTGTGTCTGGGTGTGTGTGTGTGTATGTGTGTGTGTGTGGTGTTTCGACGAACGCGACCAGGAGCAGCTATTGCCGCTGTAGGGAACAGTAGTCGAACGAAGTGAACTAGTCGACTTAGACGTGCGTAGTAATCAGCAGTTTTGTTAAGTTCTTTTTTGTTCCTTTACCCGCCCAGTGGATTGTACTATGGATCGCTGCTGTGCTCATCGAGTCTCTACTATTTGCTGTTTCTCGTAACTGAATGCTTCGGGTTGCGCTGGACAACAGTAACAGAAAACCCAGCAAAGCAGTGTACTACTAGTATCGATAAGAGTAGTCGCAGTAACTGTGGGATGATAGGGATGCTGTCCAGCTAAATTTTTTAACCCAGGTTGCTTCTTTTTCTTTTTTTAATTGTGTCGGTTTGACTTAGCCTGCGTCCTGTGCTGTCCGAGGAAACCTACAGTAGCCAGGAAACCTGGCTCAAGTCAAGTCAACTCGCAACTGGCAGGCCCATTACCTCTATGAATACCTTATAACAACGGCAATAGGGAATTAGCTTCACAAGCATTTCAGTGGAAGGCCAATTGGTGTATATCTCGTCTGTCCCTCGTTCGTGTCGACACGGTGTCTGGTGCATGTGGCAGACATTATTATTACATTGGTTCATACGCGGGCTCACGGTAGCTGGAGCCACGAAAGGCAGGCAGGCAGGCAGCAGCGATCAAGGCGAGCCACCTAAGCATTTAGCAACAGCGGCCTCAAATGAGCACTACGCGTATTGTGGCTTGCGATATCGTGGGCTCAGCCAACACCATCATCAAGTGCGTTGCTAACAGCGTCAGCTCATAGAGCAAGTTCGTCATCTTGTCGCCAGCAGGCAACCTAAACAGGCAGGCAAACGAGCCTTATCCATCGTCTCCACGAACGGCCGTAGAAATACTAGCAGTCTGCGATATACATAGACGCACGGTTGCAGAACGAAAAAGTAGAGACCAACACTAAGAACGCTACGAGTAGCGACAACAGCACTCTTACAAAGAGAAAGAAGTTCGTTCCTTTTATCTATTCAGCCAGAAACTACCTACGTGAAACTAAAATCAGCTGTGCTTAGGTCACTTCGTCAATATAAAGTGTATACTGAAGGTGCCAGAGAGGGGAATACAGGAAGCACTGTGTTTGGTGTCCTCTGGTGTTATTGTTGTTCCTCATTTAATCAACGTCGTATACGCTCCAACTCGCCAGATGTTTGTCTGCGTGCGTAACGTTACCACAGTCTGATGATAGTGTGAGCACCCGAATGTTGATGACCTGTGGGCACTGCAGATTCATGTGTTTTGGAACCAACGAGCTACGATAACGATGACTTGGAGTAAATGAGCAAACCAGAAAAATTCTTTGCCTGAGTCTACCTCTGAGTAAAGCTCTTATGTACATAGGTCTGTCTGGTGGGTAGCACCCAAGGAAAGAGATACGACTTGAAAAGAAGTTACTGCTACGAGAAGGGAGTTGGTCCATTATCCGGTTCACTCCACTGTGTCGTCATTCTCTCATCACCTGTGTGTGGCTCTGTGTGTGTGTGTGTGCGTGCGTGTGTGTGTGTGCGCGTGTGTGTGCATATGTGTATGTGTATATGTGTATGCATGCATGTGTGTTAATATCAAAGCAAAGTTGTCTTCACGCCTGACGCCTGGTGTGTTTGTATGAGCGGGCCTCAATTAGCGGTGGAAGTGGTAGAAGTATTGGACTGTGGTGATCTTTTTTTTGGTGGTGATGGTCGCGTTTGTGGTGGCCTGTCCTGCCATTCTACACGGCATAGAGGAACATAATTGCGCTAAGGTGGCAGTAGTGTGCTTTTGTCCTCGTGGTAACCTACTGCATCTGTGTTAGTTCGATACGGCCAATTATCGTTGGCCATCGCATGTCCGTGCCCGTCTAAACAGCAGAGAGTTCTCTTCTCTATCCTTCTTCTCTCAGGGCATTCTTCTCCTCCAGGGCGTCTTCTATCCTCAACTCTCAAAGCAGAATCAGCAGCAGCGGGAGCAGCTAAAGTTAGTAACGGTACGACTTCAGTGGGGTACATTAACTACGTAAACGAGCTACGACGGCTGTGCTCATTGACCACGGATAGTGCTTCTTCAGTGTCATCAAAAGCGAAGTTGACAGTCGTGGTGGCAGCCGGCACCTCGTTGGCTCCCGACCCGCCCACCAGTTATAGGCAATAGTGTGTTTTCAAGATCAGCGACCTTAGCCACGACCATTGCAAGTAAGCCGTAGTCGAAGCCATCGTTGTTGCGGTCGTCTGAGTGTGCTGGCGTGTTCCTGTGTTCGTGTGTTTACGGGGGGTGGCCTTCCAACCGCCGATGCCAGCATGTCGGATGGTCAGTGTGACGAATGGTTAAGCCGATGGGAGCAAGAGTGCTCAGAGGTTGTCACCGAAGCAGAGGCATCGCTCGAGGCGCAAACGACTACCGAACGGGATGCGAACGCCCAGCGCCTGTTCCTGCTTTTCCAGACCTCGGCCACCTCAGTGGCTCAGCTGTACAAAGGCAAATATTTTACGTGCGATTTATAACAGTCACGGTATATTTATAACGTCTTAGTAAAACAGTAATAGCAACGTGTCCATAGTGGTTCAGTAGTAATGTCTCATGGCGAATTTTGGTAATACGTTTCAAAAAACGTGGGTTCAAATTGAGAGCAGACAAAATTTGTTTCGTAGTGGGAATGACCCGCAGTCAGAAGCAACATTTAACAGCAAAACTAGATGTAAAACTTAGTATATTCATAGTTTTAGTAATCTTATTATGGATGTGAAATTGTGATAGCAGTAAACAGTGTTCAAATTGCCTATCCGAGTGGCCCATCAAAGGGATGTTTTGCTGATTGTTGGCGGAGGCCAGCATGTTTATCTATGAATATTTGTGCGTGTCACGCGTTTGTAAAGCAAATAACAGGTCTCAGTGCCCTTTATCGTTACATTTGTGTCGCTATGGTGGTTTGACTCTACACAGTTTGCGGCTGTTGGCATCCGGACGCCACCAGAAAGCACATATCGTGTTTCGCTTGGCCATCCATCAAAATACTGCTTGCGCGAACTCCACTGTAATCCTTCCCATGCAGCTCAAACAGCTGAGGTCAAAATTTTCCAGTAAGAGTGGCACTAACACTTCTACACTGAAAATGAAAGTGAAACCGTTGTGAGAACTTTGCACAAAGGGCAAGTCCATGTGCGATTATTGTAGATGTTATCTGTTTAAATGTGCATGGAACGTCTGCGGTATTTCACGCTTGTGTGTACGTTTCTGCAATGGCGGAAAGCCAGTTATGAAGTTATGTGTGCCTTGACCGCGAATTGTGTAGTTAGTAAGGATACACTAGAGTTTCTCTACGTTTCTTGGACTTTTTCTATTTGACGCTATTAAAAATCTCTTATTTCAAAGACATTAGCTAAACTAAAATGTTCTTATCATAGAAAGCAGCAAACTCTTGTGCATGCATAAGATTTGCATATATATATATATATATATCGAAAGCCTAGGTCTATACAAATTTAAAGAAATTCAAGCATGTCGTCCCAGATCTTTTTTTTTGCACTGGCACAGTTCCTTTCTTTATTTTAAGATAAGTACCCTTATTTTAATACTTACTCCCGAATCAAACACTGGAAATAAGCATTGCAGAAGTTTGTTTCTGAAATCCATTGAATTTTCGTTTGTCTCCCATAGATTTGGTGAGTTTCTTGCGTGAATACGTTGTTTATATAGTTGCTATATAGGGCATATTTGGAGCAATCAGCTTGAACTATTCGTTGTTCAATTAGAAATACTGTGGAGTTCTTGTCGAGATACTTGTTGTCTATTTGTAGGTCGTTATCGTCTTCGTTGGCATTGTCGCTGCGGCCAGCGCACTATCGATTTGATTGTGCGAATCCGAATATGAGCAGGAATCGTAATATCGATTTTGATTCTGTCTGAGCTAGGAATAGTGATTGTATTGTAGTCGTTATACGTAAAGCAGTTGTTGTTTGTTCTGACCATGATTCTGGGTCTGTTGTTGTTGCGGTTGAGACAATCGACCTTGGCGGGAGGCTTTCCCGGCCTTCGTTTTTGTTTTACTAGCATCAGCCGTTCCGTTGCGACGCTGGGATCCGCTCGGAGACTGTCGATGGACAAATGAACGACTGATCGGGCGTCAAACGAACGACCAGCTAGCCAGCCAGTTGGCCAGTAGAAGGTACATCACTACCGAAATGGCTCATCATTCCGTAGAACTTGACAGTATATGCTTGCTGCTACGTGTCGGCGCAATTTGGCTAAGCAATCACCTCACTGGGCTGTGCTCTGTTTAGCAGTGGTTCAGCCCTCATTCGCAAAGAAGTGATAACGCTTGCCAAATGCGCCAACAGAAACCGTTCCAGCAGTTTGAGTGGAAACAGCAACAGTACGCGCAGCAAGCAAAAGATCTAGATCCAGGGAAGTAGGCATCCAATGTGCTTGGAATCGAATATGTATATTTGTAATTACTAGTATATTTATTATATATACATGAGTGTATTTTAGAGCGCGTCCATATAGTGCACTGAAGTATTACACATATTGGTGTAATACTTGATTGACTGATGACGCCATCAACCGAGAGAATTAATTGCAGCGCAACCTAGATAAGTGGGGGGCGCCTACTTAAGAATACTAAGGACGCGAAGTGCGAACCAGTCAGCGTGTGGGTTGCTGACATGCAGTATCTATATGAATGAAGAAAAACCCTGAATACGTGTGACTAATTTTTTTTACCATTACCATATTGATACTGTAGCGTTTTTTCCCCGTGACAATGTGTAGCGTTGGAAATCGTCGACCTATATCGTGGCCTGTTTCGATTGCTTGTATATATATCTACATATATTATGAAATCCATGTAAGCTTTTCTCGATCCTACGGGGATACTACGCACTCTCGAAACGAACGGTAATAAACTCGAAAAGACTCGACGATTGTTGTAGACGAATTTCGCAGGCTTTAAAATTGAATAACTTTTGAACTAGTTGAGCTAGGTTTATAATTATTTTTCCTTTACATATCCGCTCTGGCAACTTTCGATCAGTCACAAACCTACTATGCGCGTTCTTATATGTAATGTCCATATCGATGGTTTCTCGAAGGAAATCGATAGTAGAGTGCTTGCCCACTATTTAACCCCGTAATCACGTGAACTTAGATCAGGAGAATAAGGAAAATAAAGCCAACGTGGGATATTTCTCTGCTCAATTCAAGACGTAACTGAGGTGTGCCAGCAAAGTCTGGTGTTGTCATCAGGTAATTAAGACTGCCTGTTTTCGATTGCCGTGCCAACCGCCCCTAAGTTTATTGATGATTCAAGACAGCAAGGTGTATTCATTGTTTTATTTTCGGCGAGTATCTTATAGTAGCAGATGCCCCTGATATTCATCGGAACTACTACCGTCACCTTTCGTCCGAACTTACTCGACACTGCCACTGAATTCGTATTTTCTCTAGCCAGACGCCATTCTCCCTGGCCCTTCTGCTGTTGGCAGTAAAGTTGAACTACGTTTCGCCTATTACAACGTATGCTCTAGGCAATTTTTTTTAATTAAACCTATTTTAAATTTTACGTGGAATACACCACACAGATTTCCAACTAGTTAGGAGTCAATTCACGGCAAACCTATTTTCAGTATTTATATGATAATTACATAGTGTTGGCCCACCGAGACTTTTAGCTTTACACTCTGAGTTCTGCTTTCGTGAGCAGCCTCCGTGATTGCGATAATGCGTTATTGTCTTTCTGGTTCCGATATCAAGTCACTTTCGCGCCGATCTTCAACACTCAGTCCTCGTTCTTGAAACGTTTACCTTGATCTTCGATAAATTCCCACAGTGCTATAGTCTTCAAAGAACAAAAACTTGGCCACTAAGCGTTCTTTTTAGAATTGATTTTCGAAAAACGAGTTTCTTTTATTCCAGGAGAAAGTAGTTCTTTTGAACTAATTTTTCCCGGGTAAATGTTACCGTTTTCACTTAGTTTTTAGAATACTGGATTATTTACCAACCAAATTTCGCCTGCTAGCGGCGAATTCTTGAAAAGTTCAATTGCCAAATTCGGTTGTAACAATAATCGTACTAAGCAAGAAGTGCAACATCTGTAAAATGAGCCTTGCCATCGATCATAGCTAACTTTACGCTGCTATCCCAGATAACATATCTTTAAAGAAGTGTTACTCTAATTATTTATATCAATTTATTCAAGTGGGTCCAATAATAATGTGGCTTAGATATCGACGATGCTCAAAAAATCAAAACTTAACAAAACTAGGTGGGTGGTATCTCTGTTGATAGTGAGTGATTACCCAACATCTATCTGGTAAAGCATAAACGCAGCTAGAGCACATGGGCAACTATTAAAGACACGAGAAGAGATTACGGCTTATTCAAGTAACGTGAAGAAACGAGTAATTTAGATCTTACGAGCAAACTTTTAATTGGTGTAAGTTGTGTATACGCCCAGCTCAACAATCGTTAAATGGTGGGGATTTATTTGCAGGTCTTCAGCGAAAGTAGGATAGAAAACTGGAGAGTCTTGTAAGAACGAGCTTTCGGAGGTGACGATGAATGTCACAAGCATAATATTTTACAGTAGTATGATCGTTACACGAAACAATTAAGTAGGCGAATGCGTGTAGATGTTTAACTTTTGTATTCAGTATTGGATTACAAGTGAGTAGTAGTTCAGAAGCTAAGGCTGTGCTTTTGGGCAGAATTACTTTTAAATGAATTTTACTATCGAATTCTACGTATTTTGTTTTTACAAATACATCTGCATGACTGCAAACCTTGCCCCTTCTTCTAAAAATTTTAAAATCTTCTCTTATCGGGTAGTTCCAAAGCAACTTTGCCATAAGGACAGCCAGTTTTGCACGTTGTTGCCATTCAGCTTAGCTCGTAAAATTCAAACTGTTGTGGTACATGTTATTTCAGTTGACTTGGGACTGACGTAAATCGACCGATTTTCCATTTAGTTTCTTTACTTTTGCAAGCATTATTATTGTATAAGTTTATTGCAGTAGGTGTTGAGTAAAGCAATGGTGTTTTATTTCAGTGCGGCCTTGCTGATCAATTTAGATGAGCCTTTGAAGGTATCATTCATGCAATGCAGCCTCGCTGATATAAAAAAATTAGCAGATCAGCAATAGTTAATAATGAAGAACGTGAAAGCTGAGGAAAAGCAGATTTGAATATCTTCTTACGCTATATATATATAGGGATTAAAGCCCATATAGATCGAACGGCTGTGGGACTTAGGTTCACTAAAAGATCTCTGAAATACACTAAAATTTACCCCGTTTCACCATTTTAAAATGTCGAAGACAAACTGTACGTAAAGAAAGTTTACAGTAATGAAACAGTGGTAAGCGTGGTGCTGAACTAAAACGCGCTGTTTTGCATCCCCGTCAGCATGTTTTAATGGGTAATATGAAAAACCGAAATAGAAATATAAAAAAAAAAGTTTAAAAATCGGTAAAAAACGCTAAGCATTGTTCATACTGCTATAATATTAAGTAATTTAGTTAATGAATACCACTTTTTTTTGCTAGGGAAGAATATTTGCGTCTTATTCATGTGACGCAAACATTTAGGGGCAATAGAGTCCAGTGAACTACGTGGTGGGATTGGAAAATCTTTTGCACGAGAGCTCATCTACTTTGTCTCTCAGATAAAGCGCAACAGCGATAAATTTTTTAAGTAGGCCATTGTCTGCTGGTGTTCGTGCTAAGTTTTTGTCGAAATACTTTCGCTAAAGGTCGAAAATAAAACTTACCGATTGATGCGCACTGCTAAAAGCAAGCATTGAATCATGAGTATATCAATTTTCCACCACACTGCGGGCGATAGCGTGTCATCAATCCCTTACAATGGGTCGCGTTCGTAGTCGTTAGTCTGAGCGTGGGTGCCAAGATTGCAAATACTTCTGGTACGCTAAGGTCTATGGTTTAACCGAAAAGTAAGCCGGAGCCTAACCTGTTTGGTAGGCAGATCATTTCTTCGATCGCGACGATCAAGCAAAGGTTGTTGAAAACAAATGCATCAGCACACTTGTTCGTTGTTGATGTAAATATTGCCAATCACTGCTCGTCAGGAATACGTTCAATCGTAGCCAACAGGTTCTATACTTACGAGCCAGTTTCTGAGGAGTAAGAAAGTATATATGACAAAGTACCAAGAATTTCATTTCAATTTTGTTTTTTTGTGCAGTATCGGTATTAGTGAATTTAGAACTTAATTGACCACACTCCAAACGTTCGCTGTCTATGTTCTCAGCTTGCAGTCGATATGAGCTGCTTTGCTATTAACAGTTGATTCCCGGATAGTTTGTTAGCCGTACACGGTCCAAGTATAAATTTAATTTCCTTTAGTACGTGTTTTGATTTTGACAACATGTCTTGGATTCGCTATATCTTTCCGATCGCTCCACGCTGCATCTAACGAAGCCGCCAATCTCTATTATGACTACAGATTTGCCTTTATATGGGTATACAGACTGGGAAATTTTCCAAGCACTTTCTGCCTTGAAGGTATGATCTGATATCGCGATATGAAATTTTTCATAATTAATGTTTCTTGAAACTGTGAGCAACTCTTGGGCGAAAAGTAGTTTACTTTTTCTCGGCGCTGCATGTCGCTAATTCGTGATGTAATGGCTTTAAGTGGTTATTGCAGAAGTTCAGCATGCCCTTGCGTCAACGCGGACGCATACATTACCGAGAACGTTTCCATGATTGATTTTCGCTTATGGTTTTTGCATTTCATCGATTGTTGGCTAAGAAGGGGATTAAATTGTACACACTATGTTGATGGTCTCTACAACTAAACTAGTTAAACCTTGTAACATTCCTTCTTATTAGCTGTCCTAGAATATCCTCATAGAGCGGCATCCAGTAGTATATATTTCCTGGGTAAAACACCTGTTAGTTTGTAAGGCATTATTTAGTGCTATTGGAAATATGCTTCGTGTTATTGATGAACTTTCTGAGATAGGCGTATGCAAGTATGTTGTACCAAAAATTTTGTAAATATGCGGACGTTTATGACTAAGTCTTTAGGTACCATTTGTTGACTTGGTTTCTTTCCCTGTAGGAAGGGCGGAAAAGCCATGTCGATATATTTTTTGGCGATCGCATGTTATGCTCTAAAATATAAGCTAATAAGGCGAAAAATAAAAAAGTGTAGTTGTTGTGAAATACTTTGCGGGGAACAACACCATGAACAAAACACCGGAATCGCAGTTTTAAAGAGATGTAAGTTTTTGTACTGTTTTTGTCATGTACTAATATGAAAAAGATACATCTACTAGATAGAGGACTGTGGCTTTGAAGCGCTACCAACTATATTTCGCTTAGTCGCATATAATTCATGACAATGTAGAGCCCACTTTAGTCACTTCACATTCCTACACTAAAGATCGATGAGCATCATCTCGTAAAAATATCCTAATTATTGGCAGTCTATGTTGAATAAGGGTGTTTGTGTGTAGAGAAAGAATGTGATATATTGGTAAAAAATGAAAAATAATAAGAACATAAAAAATTAATTTTCCTTGTAGATTTGCCCAAAGAACTGAAAACAGAGCTAGTCTCCACTGGACAGACGTTTTCACAACACATTTTCAGTATTATAGCTATATCTTCGCTATAGCTATATAGCTTTATATACAATTTGGCAAAAGGATCTTTCCGCTGCATTTCCTGTTTATCCATATTGCTCTTAATCGCTTAAGAAAAATTCAAATCCTACCTTTCTAAATACCCTCAATCCGATTATGTACTTCTACGATCTAGACAGGAATGGTCGACGTTGACATCCCTCTAGTAGTCAGGGTGTATTGAACTTTAGGGTAATCAATAGCGATGCTGCCTAGCGGCATTATTTGGGCTGTTCTCTTTATCATAAGTTACTTATGCGCTGTCATTAGTAAGGTAGCTGGCAAAACGCTTAGTGATTCGTGTCCCCACTTGTGTTTAGAAACAGCTTCGCCATTTGCCGGAAACAGCTTTAAAAGTCCAATTTGCTCGTCTGTCAATCTATTGGTTGAATTGTCGTTGCTCTCCAAGTGATGCTTGAAGTTCGGGGAAACGGGTAGCATTCAAGATGCGGTAATAAACCTCAGTCACTGACGAAGTAGGTAGATATTCGTTGAGGGAAGCAAGTCTTCTTTTCGCATTTCTTTGCAGGCTGATCCAGATCTTGCTTTGCGATAGTTTTCATGTATATTCCCTATAGCGCTCAGCGTAAATGTTCTTCTGAATATATATGCCAAGCTGCAATTTCTTTAATTTTTTTTTATTTTTACTCGTTGTAGTTATTTCGGTTTATGGCCCCTAATAATTTATTTGTTGATTGAGACCCTTGCGATATGCCAAGATAGCACAGTTCCTCTGTTAAAACGAAGTATCCCACACGTTCGTTTTTGTTCTTTTTTGATCGCGGACGCGTTCAATTGGCTCTTTTGCAATGATCCTATAACTAAAAATGAGAATAAAGTTATAGTACATAAAAGTAAGAAACGTAGAGTATTAGTCGAATGATTTTCACTATGAAGAAAATCGGAGCTCTACTAGTATTCGTCTGTGGAGTTCTTCAAGAGATTTCTACGCGCAGATGTACGCGTTTTTAGTATTAGGCAAAAATGTAGTGGAGATAATTTTATCCTGTAGGTGCATTTCATATACAAGTGCATTTTTCACCTTGAAAGTATGTTCAAAAGTTGTGTCTCTACTTGGTTTATACTGTATTCAGAAATTCTTAGGAAAATGTGTTTTATGTTGTTGCGGTCTCTGTTATAGAATGTCAAAACGGCGTGCGACTGTGGACATCGTTCCAGAATGCTGCGTCAGCCGTTACCACCCTGTATAAAGAATGCGTCGAATTACAGAAACGGCAACAGGAGCTTTCGGTACAATTTGGAGTTCATCGCAGAAACAAGGTAATCATCAATATGGAGGATATCGACTAGCATGGAAACGGAATTTATTTCTGTCGCTGGTTCTTTATAGGTGTTGGTTAACATTTTGCCATATATTTTCAGGTTCCTTCACACTATGTGACTATGTATGAACTATATGTGACTCAAAACTTTGGAATCTTTCGTGTAGGAGTGCATATATTAATTGATTCTATTATTATTATTAATAAAACCGCAGAAATCGACTATAGTATTATCATTATTCATTTAATTATTGGACTGAACCGTCATTGTGAGTGTGTGTGTGGACGAGCACTGGTAGTACTTTTTTTTTTTTAGAAAAGCCTTAGAGCAAGGCTCTGTAACTTCAGATAGCTTGTCTTAAATAATAGTGATAATGATTCCCCGGGTATTTCGAGGCGCAGGCAGGTCGAGACTATAACCAACAATAATAATAATGATGGTTCTTAAATATGAGATGAAAATGGCGCTCGACTTTGCACTTTTATATGTACCTCATATTACTCTCAATTATAAGTTAAATTATTACTCCTCTTCTGTGTCCAATGAGCTGCCGGATTCTGTTGCTCTTCGTAACACATTCATGCTATTTGGTAATACCTCCTGCAGGATGTGCTTGCTTGGGCACATAAACGGAAGCGGAGTATTCGACGTGAAGATCTGATCAGCTTTCTTTCCGGCCGCAATCCTCGAATGTCGCCTCCTAGCCAAGGGTCGCGGTCATCCGGACAATGGGGATCGCCTCGCAGGTTCGTGCTAGACCTGATATATGTATATGATACATATATAGCTGGAGCTGCTATCAGTACAATAATGTCAAAAAGCTGAAATTAATTAAATTTTTTTATAGAAAATAAGCGAAGCTAGTGAACTCCTACGTGCTCCATGGTCGAACACATACGATGCTAACTGTTAGGCTAGACACCGTAGTAGAAATGGATAGGTTTTTCATGAATTATGCAGCGAATATTTTTCCTAGTGGACGTATCGTTCTGTTTCGAAAGAATGTACGATCCGCCGCGGTGAGAGATCCACCCGAGCCGACGGCAATGCTGCGACTTGAGCGGAGGAATACCAGCAACATTCATCATTTCCTTAAGAAAACTAGGAAGGAAAAGAATGTTTAGAAGCAATACATTAAAAAATGTCTATTGTATTGGTGTGTACTCCTAGAAACTCTACTTCTTACCTGTTAGTGTCAATACAACATTACCGTATGAATGATAATAACTCGCTGATTTGTGCTACGATGTTATTTAAGATTTGACGTTCAGCGAGGCTTAACGCGGCTCAGTCTAGGTGCTGGAGGTACCTCGGCCGAAAGTCCTGTAGCGGGCTTAACTGGAGCTGCATCGGGCCTAGTTGAGGACGACGATTTAGGAACGTTCCGACAGGCGTTAGCATTTTCGGGTGAGTAAGCAATTTACAAATCGCCTTCGCCCTATAACCCATTGCTGGTTGTTGTTTGAGCTTCTGTGCGTAGGTAAAACGTTATCCAGAGAAGAATTTATCGAATTCGTCAGAGGATTAGACTGATGGTGATGTATCGCTAGTATAATGTCAATATTAAGCTGTTGTAAAAAGATTTTCATTGTAAAACGCATTTCGAAGTTCGATCATATATATTATCTAAATGTCGCATAATTGAAGTTAAAAAAACTGTTTCAAGAGTTACGTTAGTTATTACCGTTAGGCTTTCCATCAGAAAGTCTAGTTGAACTGTTGCATTGTTCATCGACACGAAAATCTAACCGAATCCCATTGTTTTGTTTGCTGATTGCAAAATCTACAAATCAAAGCTATCACCGTTGGCGCTAGCTCCGGTGGACACCATTCGTCCCCACGAGTTTCGAAAACAGCCGAACTCAGCCATTTTATTACAGAGGAGTTCGCTCGACACGGTCGTAAGAGGCCTCTGCCCGTGGCCTCTCTTCACCACGCCAGCCATTCAATGCCTGCTACTGTGGTAACGAATTCCACGATGCAGTCCGATGACGTAATACACCACCGTTCGGGCGCCAGCATAGAAGATGATGTAATAATGGGCAGTCCGCAGCATAAGCGGTCAAAGTATCTCTAAAGCGTTCATGAAAATGTCGTCGGGCTATGTTGTCGTCGGCATCCGAACAAATCGGTGAACGGAACGACGAACGGCCAGAAAAGAGCTACATTGTCAACATATACGCGAAAACATGACACTATTATGATATATAATGGTGATGGAGAGGAAGAAAAGATAATCGGAACCAAAACGAGAATACGGTGAAAACAAGGACAACAAAAGGAAGGTCGCAGGCAAAACAAGACAACAAGCAAAAACTGCCAGGAACGCCTACCAACATAAATCGTCCCTTTATCCGTGCGTCTTATACATATATATGTACATGCATTCAGAAATAGTGCATCACAACATACGGGGCATCCGAGGATGCCGATTATGACGTTGGCACTATGTTATTTTTTTGACAACAGAACAAACCAACGTGCATATTTACTGATAAAAATAAGCTAAGGAAAAGTAAATATATAAGTATAATTCTAAGGAAAATGTATGGACTGTGAGCTGCGAACATGAAGACGAAAGCTCTCTGCCGTGCCGGTGTGCGATGAATGTTTGTTTTCTTGCTGGAGAAATAAGGACAAATAAGGCAACAACAATAACTACGTAATAGCGAAACTACAGCCTCTCACATCTGTAGGTCCTTGTGCCGTGTTTGAACAAAAAAACAAAAACGTAATGATGATAGCCATTATCTTCCATTACCCAACAGGCCACTCTTACCCCATGGTGATTCTGTGGGCCTCCGTCTCCGTGATTATGCTATATGTACATAAACGTGATTATTGCTCTGATTATGATTAGTATCAGTGTTATAAAAAAAAGTTTTGCTGCGCGATTGTATTTTGCTGCGTGTACATAAAAACAGACCCCAACACCCAATACCCAATTAGACCTTATGAACTGTGGGCGCGGTTGACGAAAGTGAACAGCGTAAAATCAGGAGCGCGGGATCGCTATGGTCGAATCGATAGTCTGACGTGGGCCAAAATAGAGGAAGCTTGAGCAGCTGATATAATTACTTGGTTAAGTTGTCCTGAGAGGAACGCCACGAGCGGTCATTCGTTGTCATCGATCGTTTCGTTCCGCCATGTTACGATTTTCTTAACCCCACACTCTGATTCGTATTAGTTAGCAAGTTAGCAGTCTGTGACAAACAAATGATTTTATGTCATGGGCATGGAAGAAACGAGCATGGAGTAAAACAGTGGAGATATGAAAATACAGGGCATTTGTTCATCCACTCAATGATTTGAGTTGGAGGTAAATTAAATTTGTTTGTATCCGCACTCTCACCTCTAACCTTTGACACTTTGAAAGCTTTTACTTGGTCTGACACCGGCTGTCTAATAAAGCGTTGTGTTTTGTTTTCATAACCTCAGCTACCGTGGTATGACAGCTAGGGAGATGCAACGGGAAGGCGTAGCATATAAACGAATTCTGCCGCTTTCGCAGGGTAAAATAACAAGAGCTTTTATAGTTGATGGATTGCCATTGGCCCAAACACAAGATGTTCATCTGTCTATTGTGACACCATTTATAATTAATAACAACGTAGTACTAGAAAGAGCCAAGATGGTGATGATAAAAAAAAGCGCAATATCATATATGCATATACATTAGGTTAAACTGCTTTTCGGCATGATTTTTCTCTGCTACGCGTACTGCCAGGATGGACAGGACGACTGAGTGCAGACCGTACTTCGATGTAACGGGTGGGCAGGTGAGTCAATCAGGGTACGTTAATGTCGATGTACTTCATAACATAATCAAGGAGCACAGGCAGATTAAACAGGACGCAAAATTGCCTTGTGTAACTAATCCCAAACACGGCTATCCCCCGAAAGGGACTCTGATCGTCGCAAAAAAATCAACAACAGACAGATAATTCTGCTATGATTTGCCTCCCGCTATTCAACTCCGCCATTGTCCAAAACCAGTCTTTATCTTTCATCCGCAATTCACATTTGTGTCATCGAACATATTTGTTTCAGAGAACACAGGATAGCGGTTAAAATACCATTCATTCATAATTGATCATTGAAAAAAAGGCTGTACTTCTTTGTACTGAAAGAATGTATGCAGATGAACCGTGGAGCTCTAGCCCGCAGTCAGTCCCATCTAGGCGATGTGATGTTTACGACGGATTTGACACTTTTGTGTGGTTTTTGAAATGTTGAATTGACTTCTAAAAATGGTCGATCGAAACTGAGGTAGCATGAATTAAATTGAACTATGTCTGGAATAAAATCAAATAGGTGTAATAGTAAGGACGATCGCGATAGCTGTAGTATCCTAGATAGCGCTTCATTTTTGTATCAAAGGCCACGATCAAAGGCCGTTGAAAACGCACAGACACGAAGAGGTACGGTTTTTGTACGGGCCAAATTTAGCGAGCAGCAGTAGCAGAAGCCAGAAAAATAGAAGCCTTTGACTGTCAATTGTTTAAGTATGATAGCCTCCGGCTAGAAAATACTCAAATAAATATGCGAATTTGAAATTGTTTACCACAAACGGTGAACCCAGTCTTTCAATGCCAGTAAACCGTCGATAAAAACGCTTGGAATGAAATAGGTTGTCCAAGCACCGGCCAACACGCGTGTTATCGAGTTAATTGCCTGCACAAAACGGTGGAAATTTTTGTCTTTCAGTCGATATCATCTCTGTCTCGAACAAAAAAAAAGCCTATTTATCAGATTTGCCCTTACGAGTGGATTGTTGCTGCTGCTGCTGCTGGCGGCTTAATTGAAGTTCGTATGAGATCCTCTCTTCGCTCAACGGGGTCAACGGGACAGACCGATTACGGTGGGAACACGAGATATGGAGACAACTTAGGCAGAGACGGTGAACCGACAAGTGAATGGAGAAGATGGAGTGAGTTTGTTTGAACAGACGGTGGCGGTGCATAGCGTTTCAATGACTAATTATTGAATACAATAACAATATACCAATAATAATAATAGCAATGGTAGCTGTATAGGACCGACCAGTAAATGGTCAACTGTGATCATTATGTGAAGTGGCGGCAGACAATAAGTGTAATGACGGTTATCATATGATGATGTTGATATAATAACCATAAAACGATATGGCGGATGCACTGTGAATACGCACAGACATCCGATCACGATGCTTTGGGCTTGCTCCTCATGGCTTCGAGCGATAAGCCTGGCAGAACTGAGCATCAAACGCGTACGTCATCGCACAATATGGAAAACGGTGCGATGGTAACGTAACTCTATCTTGGACGCAGTGCTAAGCTGTGATTCGGAGGTTGGTCTAAGATGGAGGACCAGCGTGATAGACTGATGGTGACGGAGGGGAACTGAGATAAAGCGGGTGATCATCAAGAAAATGGATTAGGAAAAAAGGCAGAAAAACACGTTACGAAGTAATCGATGATTCGATTTGGCTTCAGAACGTTCTCACAGTGGCATTTGCCTTCGGTCATTTAAGTAGTTTTGTTAATAATGTGCGTCATTTGAAAATGTGAGTATGGCAATGCGAACGATCGACCGACTGACTCTGGGATTGATAAGTTAAGATACAATACTGAGTTTTCGTTGCGCACGACGGGCAGTTAGAAGCAACCAGGGCTGGACGAATGTATACCAGTGTCGTACTATTACTAATTAGATTATGATAATGATCATGCTTATTATTGCCGTTTTGAGCAAACACCGCTAGATCAGCGTTTGTTTTTATAATTTTTTTCGAATTTATGCCGTACTAATAGTAATGATATATCATTGTAATCAGTTATGTGCATTGGAAGGGAGCTTGCAGACAGTTTGATTTTGGGACAGAGGCAAACGCACGAATAATCGCGTCTCGGTTTGTTTCGCCAACCCCTTGATGAGCGGCAACGTTCCCATTCGTGATTAGCTGACTAGCTAATGGCCTCGTTTAGCAGTCCTATCGTTTTCTTCACTGCAGAAACAAGTTATCGTTAAAACTAGCAAACGTCGGAGCTTTTTTCCGAATCCGCGTATATGATTAGCTGGCAAGTCTATACCCCATGTGTCGAGCCATAAATCGGGAATGTTACAGTTTTTGTTCAGCTAAATAAACGCTGATAGAGGAAGATGGCACAGTGAAGCTAGCGCCGCCATTACTTGAATTTTAATGGAAAAATACACTTCTTCACCATGATAAAACCATAGTTCCAGTAACCAGGAAAAAACTAAGCTAAAATAATAATGAGAAGAAAGCTTACAGGCTTACTTATGGCTCATCTATGTATAATTTAAATAAGATTTGTATTGATCTCGTCATGAAGAGTAGTCGACACAACCATGGGACAATAGATTAATTATTCGACTAACTATAATTATAGCTAGACACAGCTTTCCTTTGTGTTTCTCGAAAGTTCATTACGCTCGAACTTCGTTTTACTTACCCCACGCACATTACCCGTTGTGTGTTCGATTACCATTTTTTAACAATCATCAAGGGTTAAGCTATAGTTGAGCTTGCTTAATTCGTTTTTTGCGTTAACGATCTATCGAGGGACTTTGTAGTGGTAGCAGCTGCTACTAAATCATTAGTTATGTCAGTCTATCTTGACACGAATTGTATTGATTATATAAAGCAGAAATTATTAGTTAGAATTGGGTTTGTTTCTGCGTCTTGCGACGGTATGCGTTAGGTAATACGTAGAACTGGAAATTCGTCCGTATTACGAACCTACAGTACGCTACCCCGTGGGAACCGTATGCCCCCATTTCATAATTTAGTGAGGGTGCATCTGAAGTAGCAATCGCAAAAATGTTCTTCTTATCACTGGCCTTGCTATGCTACGCTACGCTACTGCTTCTGGCTGAAGTAAGCCTAGTATATAGCAACGCAATGATCCGGACGAAAGGAACTATGCGTGAAACAATTTTTTGGAGCAATTATGTAACCCTGCATTGACTATTTGAGGTAGAGTTTCATTGTCGATTTTTAACAAAGCAGTCGCTGACGTAACGCTACTCGATGAGCAAAGCGTTTATAGACACGTTCCCAGAATATGTATTTGAAGTATTGTTAAAAACGGAAGACAGCAGTTCACGGTTACCGTAACAAATGGTTAGTTAACATTACCATGGATATTATCATCGGATATCGGCTACTGAGCAGATACATTCTATTAGAGTCTCAAGCTTTCAGAAACCTTCTTAGTGATACTTGGTTAAAGCTAGTACAAGGTGTCGAGTCATTTTTCTAAAAAATTCACTTATTTCAAAGAAGTACTTGGCATTGATCTATCCAAATATAGATCATTTTTCGTGCTAGACCAATGTACTCGCAATTCGTAATGTATCAATTTAAAGTTGTCCATTAGATCTGCTGATGATGCGTATCGTAATAAAGTCTAGCTTAGCAAAGTCGCTCTAAAGGACGAAACATAATGGCTGACACTATGTTCTCTGGGTCCACAGACTGTGTTATGCCTTACGTACGACTTGTGCTGCCGATCTCGATTGCATGCTTGTCACCACCTCCAATCACACCGTCTAAACGCTGAAATTGACCCGCATGGTATACGACTGAGATCCAATAAGAAAGCAAAATGAGGGAACGGTTAGCGACATATTAAATGGTACATAAGCAGTCGTTTATATATTTGTATATGAAGTAGTACAATGATGATGCTGACGTGCAGTGATGATATGAAGCTCTACATGAATGTCTATTTGTGGTAGTTGTACTCAAGTGAACACTTACATTCGAGCTGTAAGGACACGGATATTTCCGTTTCTGCGCTGTCGTTGGCGAGCAGAAGAAGCGTAGACATTACTCATCAAGAAGGCAAATGGTCATTAAGATGATTGCACTTTGTAGCAATACCCGTGGCCGCCGACAACATTAGCAGCAACAACGAACCAATACAACAATGACATTCGTAGCAACAATATAAATGCAATAATCAGTGGGGAGAAAGCATACGTGGAATGACTTTGTGCGTGTGCGGAAGGTAAATACAGAAAAAAAAAAACAAGCAATGACAAGCAGAAAAAATTAGCTAAATAAATAATGGCGACAGGTTCGGTTCGTTCAAAAATACACGAGGCAATTAATAGTTCATCAAACGAGTTGAGGACGAAGACCGGAACTTTGCCATGGCAGCAACAACAGGAATAACCTGAATACGATGATGGTAATATTCAAACAGGAATAACACCAGCAACAAAATGTGACGAAGAGGATCGTGTAAATATAGTTACAAATGAAAATAAATATAGTTATAAATAAAAAAAAAATAATAAAAATAACGTGCGAACTACACGAAACATAGGGGCGACCGCAAGAAGTGTAGCGGTAACGATGATCATAGTGGTAATATCCAACTCAACTGCTGTCGAAGATGGCTGTTCGGGCCGTGCGCAGGCTTAGACATTGCAGGTAAATATCTGATGTTTGAAGCTAAAATGACACAGTTGTACTCCTAGTTACAAGCAGCAATAGACAGTGTCAAAAAAATTGCCAGTTAAGCGTGTCAGGTACGAGTTGGTGAACAATCAAGCAATTATCTCATTATTTATGAGCACCTACTAGCACAGCATATTTCGTTGTAGCTAAGAGCACTGTACCTTTTTTTCTTGCGGCTTGTTACAATGCTCTCATAACGCTAAAAGACGTGTTACTTAAGGCCCTGGTAGAATTCGTTCCCCATAGCTAGCGAAAATGAGATTGTTAATGCTTTGCTTGATAATGGTCATCGACAGTGATCATTTGAATTGACTTCAACGCTGTCCTCTGCACACTTAACTGCGTAGAGTAAGAGATATATCTTAGTCTACGCAGTTAAGTGTGCAGGTTACGAGTGAGGACAGTTATTATATATATATATAATATTGATTCCAGCAGCTACTATCATATGAGTGTAACGATAATGTGATTGTATAGTGTTTTTTTTGTTGCCCAAAAAGCAATGTCCCATTTTCGTCTAGAATGTTGTGCTTGCCATGAGTAGCCATCCTATCTCGAAGCAATTTTGAGGTACTTGTAGCAGATCTTAAAAAAACAACTCGAGCATTTATTAAAAATGCGCTTGCTTGGGTTAATCAGTTAATAATGATAACCTGAAAGTCCCGTAAAATTTATGAACGCAAGAGAGCTACGTTCGAAGTTAGCATCATCTATTGTGTCAAACACGTTTTCCCTTGACCAAAATTATACTTTGTGCAGATCTTGCTTTTCTACGTAACCATGAAGTTCGATGTTTCAAGAAATTACAGTAAATAGTCGCAATCGTGATGTGGCACAACATCAAAAAGGACGGATGTCCTAGAAGCATTGATATATAAATCATTTGCCTTAAATCTCTCGCAGCCCGCGCTAGCCCGACGGCATCTATGCAAATGTAAATAATGATGATGATAATAATAATAATAATGATGGTAATAAACTGTTGTCTGCATTGATACAATATTCATGTCTATTTCTTGAATGTTATGTGTTTACGTCAAATATACGTAAGCAGACAGGGAGAAGGCACTGGCAGTTTTTTTCATACAGGACAAAAAGGGAAGACGCATGGATTGATCTTCGGGAACATAAATCACGTTGCCGCACATTGGAAGACCATAAACATGAAGTCATGCTAAAGTACATCAAATCCTATTTGAAGTTATTTCCTTTTTATGATAATACACATAAGTAACAACATGCTGTTCGACGTCCACGAAAGAGTCGACCTTAAAGATGTTTGTTTTTATTCTCGGGGATTAATTTCGATTTTGTTTCTATTGGAAGGTCTATTTAAATTCCGCGATAAATGTGCACGTGGTCGCTCCCATATATTTATCCGATTTTTTTTGCAAAACGTATCCCAGCATAGCTCAAAAGAACCTAGAGAAGTGCCATAAAGTTAACTTTCTAAACAAGACTTGTATTAATATATATACATACATATGATTTTTCTTCGAGAGAGTTCTGCCTTATTTCTTAAAGTCTTTGTAATCCCACTCTCTATCTTAGCATTTTTTCGCCTCCTGCCTATCCACATTTTTTTTAGTTTCCGTATTAGGTTACAGGTACCGATAGAACTAGGACGTTCACCAGGCGGCGCTACCATCGTCGGCGACGGCTGCCGCCCTTCACCTGGCGCGACGATGAGTGCTTTGTGTGTGTCGTCGACCTCCTCGTCTGCCCGCCTGCCGAACGTAAACAGCTGTTAGACTCGGTGTTCCTGTGCTGCTGCTGCTGCTACGACTAAAGCTGTCCCTGTTACTCCTGCCGCAACTGAAGCGACCTGCTGCTGTTGCTGCTGCTGGTACGGGCTCATTGCTGCGTTGCTGCACTAACAGCGACCCTGTCTAGCGACGCAGAACAGAGAGAAAACACTTGGCAGTAGTCGTCACGCTACGTACAGCATAGCCGCGATCGCAGTCTGGTTTGATGGCCAGCTAACAGCAATCGGTCAGTGCGCAGTGGGATTTGCTTTACTTCTGTGTGTTTGGCCTGTTTGATTAAGTGCATTATTGATTTGCTGATTGCGTCGATAGTCTGATCGGGTATTGAGCCTATAGTGAAGTGTTCTGCAGTCCCCAGTCGATGGTGAACGTGTCGACGTGTACTTCACTTGAGAGTTCGCGCGCGGCGGCGGCGGCGGCGGCGGCGGCAGCAGCAGCAGCAGCAGCAGCAGCAGTAGCAGCAGCGGCGGGAAACCCATACGGAGATAAACGAAGCAGAACCCCGGAGATATGTATAGATTTTTTGTAACAATAAATGACGATTGAATGCAGTCACACTCCGTTTAGTACGACATCGGATCGGTAACGAGTGGAAGCCTTTCGTGGGGGAGAGGCATCGTAGTTGGCGGGATCTAATGTTGACGAATACTTTCACAGCTGCTACTTCTGTCTCCACTGTTCGTGTTGTATAGATACTACGAAGCATTTTAGTTGCTGCCAACAATGGCTTCTCGTAATAGTTTCGTGCGGTGTTTATAGTAAAAGAAATATCATAACAGTGCAGTCTGATCGAGCAACGAAAACCAGCTGAGTTTTCGTGAATTGGTTGCGGATAACTGCGTTGTGTGTGTGCTTGTATGTGTGTGTTTTTGGACCTGTGTTCTGGGTATTACTCAGTTCGTCGTTCCATATATGGCGCAAGTTCGGAAGGTGATGTCCTCGAAAGGTGAAACCAGGCTAGAACAGCAACGGTCTAAGACGCCTCAGTACTGTCACCTTTGTGGCCATCAGCAGAACTTGAAGCGGTGTGCCGCCTGTAAAAATGCGTGGTGAGTAGCTGTCATGGGTCTTCCTATATCAGACAGATCGATAGAATCAGCTCGACTTGAACCGTACTCAACCAATTCTTGCTGGTCACGTCGTCCATCCATCGAGCGTCGTCTCGCTACTGCTGGCCGCGCGTAGGGAGGTCTAGGGTATGGACGTGGGTGAGAAACGTATTGATACACCGTTCTAGAGTGTGAATATAGTTTGCTGGGTCATAATACAGTTGCAATGGAAGTTTACAATTCGAACAAAACGTGAATGCCTAGCATCTAATATAACATGCTGTTGACAGTTCCAAAATGAGATAGCGAAGTGATAATAAACGAGGATTGTTTGACAATGGCTCGTAGCTGCTACCCCTGTGTTTTTGTTTTGTTGTCCGAGAGATGATGTCGTGCGTCCGTGTGATCAAAACGATACAAAAACTCTAAAACTGTCGTTTGGCTATATCCTTGTGATTTTCAGTCCAGGTATCGATCGATAGAATCGATAGACATTTGCCGATTTTCGACTAAAAACGACCCTAATAAAATAAAGTCAACTCTCTTAACGAAAGCAATAACATGACTAAACGATGCAGGTCCCAAATAGTTATTAGTTCGCCAGCTTGTTTAGTATTCTCGAAGTAGACAGATCCGTAACAAAACAATCCAATCAAGGAATTATGCGGGACATTTGGTTATCAATAACTGCAAATGAGCGTTTCAACGGGCGAGCGAATGTGTGATTTTCAATTCAAAACAACTCAGATTAAAGGGTATTTAGGGTTTATGTTTTAGAGATATATAAGTTTGAATACTGAGTGGAGAACATTTAGTGGAAGGCACAGTTCAGTAGAAAGCGCGATTAATAGTCATAATACATGTTTGCTGAGTTACACCGTCGATTAAAAAAATGTCGAATTAAATTATCACTCGGGTGAGATGCATTTCGTTAGTGACCTTTTGATTTAGATTCCCACATGGACCCTTGTACGTAAGAACAAATAGCCTTGGCATAAATAAATCAGCCTGTCTTGTGGCCAGTTAGCGATAGCTTATCGAGGAGTTTCGTTTCCTCCTGATTAGGTTACCCATTGCTATTACAAGACTCATCTTAAACGTTCTGCAAAGTTCAACTATATTTTGCACCGTTCAATAGTTCGGACGCTGATAGGAAAGATAATATTTACTGAACTAAACCAATTTAAAGGTTTCCCGTATTCAGAAAATTATAGTTATAGAAATAGTTCGAGAGTTTAGAAGTTGCCAAAAGAAAGGCGGGTATTTTATTATTTATCAGTGCTAAAAAAATCCCAAGGTCTTATATTATCGGAGCCGATTCGTGACTAGGCCTCTAGTCCTATCGTGGACGTTTAGAATGGAATGTTGAACAACGAGATATTGCATGTATCAAAAAGCGCCTAACATTACTAAGGCACCTTTCAAAACGCCCTGTCATGTTCGCCACCATTACTGAGCGTCCACTTTGATATTTTCTGTAATAGTCGAGAAGTTATCTTACGAAGTAGACCAGAACACAACAATCGACAAGTATCAAGTTGAAACATAAGTATTTTGCCTATATTTTAACTTTATAAAAAAAACGCAGCACCTTAATGGATTTTATTAACTAGCAGTCTTCATGACCTTTTCCCATCTATCAAATAATAGATCTTTCATTCTCGGCAGAAATGCTGAAGTTTGATGTTGGAAAACTCGTCCAACCAAGCCCTGGAACCCTCTTCGCTATTAAATGTAGAATAAATCATTTAAAGATCGAAGAAGATCAAAACAAAGTCGGGAGAAAACAATAGGTTGAAAAATTCTTTTACCAAGCTCTTGCGGGGCGGCCCTCACATTCTTTATTTAAGAAAGATGATTTTTTTCTCGCCTATTTAGGCTCATTCAGTGGATGCAATTGGGCCATAGACGGATTCTTGTTGATCATTGTACAAACCAGTTTTGAGTATTTTTTTTTCCAGTTATAGACTTGCAGCGTATCTGTTGTATGCAATATGTCAGCAGGTATTTGGTTTTCGCAGTAAACGAAATCGAGTGTCGAAGATGTATTTCTTCTAACCTTCTGCTTCCAACTTGTACCTCTGAAGCCTGAACTCAACATAACATTCTGCTTATTGAGCAGTAATGGATACAAGAGGAGCAATAAAAGATCAGTTTTAAATGATTTATAGAAGTAAACAGACAGCATAAAGGTAACGAGAAAAGAGAGCACTCAAAACCTAATAGTTAAAAGGCATTTTAGCATAGAAAAACTAGTTCAATTTGACAAGAAATATGACTGTATGCGTGGAACCCGCCTGGTCAGATGATCTAGCTGCTTTAGATACACATCATTTATCTAGATTAATTTTAATAGATTTATATGAAAATATTAATAATGCCGCATAAGAATTTTAATCTCTTGATGAAATTTAGAGCACCGAGTTCAACAACCGTAAAAAAATCAAAAACAAATTGAAAAAAAAACAGAATTCGAAATAGCTACTTAGCAAAAAATCATTGATAGTAAATCAACTCTTAGAGCAGCCCGCAAATCCGGCATTATTTATTGGAATGTATGGCTAACACCATATATTGGTAGTTAAATTTTATCGGTATAGAATTAGTTGATTGTGCTCCAAGACATTCATTTTCCATCATTTTCGCTTAAGTTACATTGAACAACCTTTGATTTGTTGAAATGGCTGAATCTCTATCCAAAAATAGTGATATACATTAAATGGATACCAACGGCTTGTGCTTGCTCTCGATTTGACTCAAGATTTATGTGCGATTCCGCTTACTTACGCATCTGTTTTTCATGGTAATAAGTGAAAAAAAAAACAAAAAAAAAAAAGTAGTGTGTTGCTCTTTATTGTTCTATATGTTATATTAGAAATTGGTGAGCAAATGCAAAGACTAATGGGATATTTATATAACTTCATAATGAAAACCATGTGGTTTTTGGTGGAGGTGGGTCATTAACTACGATAGTAGCTGCATGTATCACAGAAGAGAACGACTAGGTTCCGCACTGCTTAACCGTGTTGAAAATATTCCAGTTCCAATAATGGGGAAGGATTAGGTTCAATATCTAAACAGCGGGCAGAATTTTTTTCAGGGTTTCGAGGCGGGTAGGAATAACATGATAGCTAGCATCTCTCGACTAGATTATAATACGTTGTATAGTATGATCATTGTTATTATTATCTATCCGTTCATAACGTATCCAAAATAGGCTCTAGTAGTTACCATTATAATGCTGTTACCCAGCTCAATGCTACAGTTCATGTTATTCCATTTTCACGATTATTCTGTTGGTCAACTATAGTATTTTCGGCAATCAGTGAAATCGATCCCTAAAGCCGTAGAAATACGGTAGTTATTATATGCTACAAAACATCATTCTGCTTTGTTCCTACCGGATGTATTGAATTTCAAAAATGCGCGCCTGTGTGACGTTTGTATTCACGCATGGCAAGTGGAGAGGAAGTCGAGCCAAGCGGATCCCTTTGCCAGTGGTACAAGACTGACGTTGAGATGTAACAGATTGACGTACCAAATGTTTCTATTATAGAACTGAATTGTTAAATCAAGTTGTCATTATCTTAATGCATAAAACGCTGTGAACAAAATCGTGAAGTGAGTGTTCAGGATCCATAGTAAGGCTGTCTTACAATTCGCGGCTAATCAAGTTCGACCTGACAAGGAGCCTCTATCACAGAGCAGCTTGAACGGCTGGCACAGCCGACACTCCGACTCTTCAATCATATCACTTAATCTTTTTTTTATCTGGAGTACATATCTGTCTATATCGCTAATGTGGGGGCGATGGTGTCCTTCTATACTCCGACTGCTTAACGTGGCTACCGATGACAGAAATTAGCCACTTGGTTTCATTACTGCTAGTAAAAAAGCGTTCGAAATTTGCAAACCTGTGTCAAAACAGTTTAGTGTTGTACAACTTCACCATCAAATAAAAATGAACTTTATTGTACAAACCGAGACTCTTTTGAAATGAATGTAGGTTAGTAGTTGTGTCGTCAGTGTAATGATAACGCCTACGAAATAGATAAGACGGAGACATATTCCGTGTCAATATCATTCTCAACTGGGATGCTTCAAAGGTTTCCATTTAAAGGAAAGCTTTCGTAGGCATTCAATCCGCTTAAGTAATTCAATTACCGTATAATAGAATTGTCCTAAAAAATACTTATTTGCATGCGGTTTTGAACTCAGTCTGCAGAAACCGTAAGCTTTACAGTGGGAAAGTTAATGTCCAGTAAGTTTGATTAGATGGAATGAGGAGATTTTGCACAAATCGATTGTCCGTTTTGTCGACGATTGATATAAATTGATATAACTATATTTCAAAAAAATTAAACAGAGTTCAAGATATGTAAAGGAGTTGTCTCGTTCAGATATCCAGAAGATGGTATCTGTAAGAAACGTTTTTGATTTTAGGTACTGTTGTAAGGAACATCAGGTCACTCATTGGGCTGCCCATAAGCATGTTTGCAGATCTTATCAACAACAGCAGCCGGACCCACAACAACAGGTTTGTTCATACATTATCGAATTTGTTTATGAAAACGTTAAGGATTATTTCACTTCGCGACCTTTCCGTGTATTACAATGTACGGAAACTTAAGTAATTTAGCTATCAAAACAAGTTAAAAAAGTTATTTTTTGACCCTTGTCAACAACACTATCATGTTACGATAATAATAGTACTACTATTTTATTGATCTATTGTGCATGGCTTTGAGTAATTCGTTGTTACTATTATTTATATTATTATTAACAACTATGTAAAATACATACTACTTCAAGGAATAAATATTTCTTTATCTCGCCTTTGTTGTCTCAATGAACATACGACTAATGACAGCGTTTTTACCTATTTCATCGTGGTACAGAAATCCGTACCTCACAGCCCACTTACTCCTCCGGAAGAAACGCCCAGCGAGATATCGCCACCACACGGCATCCAGTCACAAGCAGCGTCACAACAAGCCCAAAATGTCACCGAACCGTTCGTGGGTGACGCAGAGTTGCAGTCCCTTGTTGACGAGCTCTGCTCAAGCCAAAACGAATGGATTGACTCGTTCGACTTCCCACAGCAACAGCAACAGCAACAGCATCTGGACCAACAGCAACAAAGTCAACTTCAAGGTCAACAACTATTTCAACAGCATCAGATACACAACCCGATTACGCAACCCGGAATTGATTGGCTCGAGAATGTTAAGAAGCAGGTAGGTGGGTGTGTCGAATACTGCAGATTACTACATATACATATATATGTGTTAAACTCATGTTAATTGAACCGAAACGATGCAGAAAAATAATGGGGAGGTACAATGGCGATTACCCCTACCTTCGCAAACAAGATATGACAGCCTAGATTGCATGTGAAACTTAATGCGGTTTTACAGGTTATTACTGACATGAATCGTTTTGGAGTATGTGTCGTGAACAATTTTCTTGGACCAGTGAGAGCCAATGAAATCTATGAAGAGACTGTACAGCTGTACCAGCAAAAGGACCTATTTCACGTGAGTGGGGCAGTTAGGTCGTCGTCCGGTTGATTTTAGCATTTTCAATTGCAATCTATATTCATGTGCGCGCTTGCCTGCGATGATTTGTATTATGCGAGAGCAACGACAATTATGATATATATATTCGCTGATATATTCACGCAGCCGCTTATTAAATAAGAATGAACTGCTACAAAGTATCGAACTTCCTGTTTACTATGGCTGCCATAATATGACACAATACAGAAAATGGCTGGTATTAGTAGAAGGCCATTTGTCTGAAGTGATTGCGCCATGGTTGTACAGCAGTCAGTGAATCATTAACGGAACTTTTCCAATTTTGACGCTCCCGTTCGGGCAGCATTACCTAGAAACATACGACCAGTTGGTAAACCCGTGGCGACATTAAGACAAGAAGCTTGTCCGTACACCAGTTTGTATTATATTAGTACATATCGTGTCATGAGTCAGTTTCGTAAAATGGTAACAAAATACACCCACGCCGCCACGTCTATTCGGAGAGGAAGGTTCGCGAGCGTAAACCCGTGGAAAAAAAATGCTAGGCCATCAGTTGTCACTCTGTATTGATTGCTGGGTACAGGTGGGACCCTTAGGCACTCCTACTGGAACATAGTGGTGAATGATTTTGGTTCGATATTGATCATACGTAAATATAGTATCATTATTCTGAATAAATCATTGAACCGACGTACTGCGATGATTTTCGGCAGCTGGTGCTTTAAGTGACAGGCTTGTGGGCGCACTCAGGCGGTGGATTTCTGCGTAAGCTTGCGATGGAATCGGTGACGCTAGCCAAATCATAATGCCTCAGACTGCACATTATTTGACTATTAAAGAATCAACGGAAACAGCGTTTTTTTCATATCGGTGTTCTATACCAATATGTTCTTGGTGAACTTCTAGCAAGGACAAGTTGTTAATGCGGCTGGCAACGAAGGAGTTCTTGTTCGTGGTGACCATATCGCCTGGTTAGATGGAAGCGAAACGTATTGTTCGAGCATTCGATTTTTAATCAGGTAACGAATAAGTGGAACAACAGCGGAAGTGTCATAATTAATAGTTTGGTTGACAAGATGAATTTGATTTTAAAAAAATTGAAATATAAGATTAAAAAGCAGGCCTGAAAGCAGTTTAGATGCAAGCTTTTTGCTGCTCTCTTTTTTGAAGAATCCACTAGAAATATTTTGTTCGACAAAATATTTCTAGTGGATTCCTCTAGCAACCAGCAATCCACACACATATCCTCCAATCTGTCGATTAAGACTGAGTAGCTCACTTCGTAACACCATTTATGTCTTATGTAGCTTATAAATGACCCGAAGTCACTGTCGGTGATCTGGGTCGCCTGCAGATATCGATTGTGAAAGATAAGCTTGGCACGGCCTGTTGATATTCAACAGGTGATGACTAACTGTGGCTAGTTCTTGCGTTTTCTATTTCTCTACAACTTTTTCTGTTGACGTATTCGTAGATCGTTGGATTCAGTCGTCGCCCGGTGTAGGTATCAAGGAGAGTCGACCGGTGAGTTCGGCCAATATCGAATCACACAGCGAACAAAAGCGATGTTGGCCTGCTACCCAGGAGGTGGAACTAGGTGAATATTCTGGTAGCGAGTAACTTGTAGTTTCTTAAAGAATTCTATCGAACTTCGTTTAGGCTCTCGGTTTCTGTCACCTGATTTTGGCGTTGAAGGGACTAAACAAAGCTGCTTACTTAAAAATATTCGTAAGCGAGACAGACGCTCGTACGTTTCGAATCTTTGTCATACAGACGACGTTACCCATTGCTAACTTTTGAAGTCAAAAATGAAATCGGTTATTGCTCATGATGAACATCTTCATTTATATCATCTTTGGCAAAAATTCTACGTTTTCCAAAATGATAGCTAAGTTCTTGATTTTTTCCCCTGCAACCGTTTCCCATGTATATGTATATACACACACATATGTCTGGTGATAGCATCAACGAACCTGACGCCTGGATTATACAGGACTGTGTAAAATAGATTTTACAATTTGGTGGCAAAGACAACGATATCCTGTTCGGGATAGAAGCTGTTAGTACAAATGCACAACACGAGGGGCAGGATGCATGTCAAAACTATAATTAGGCAATGGAATATGGTCATGTTATCTACAGATGCCACCTCGCTTGCTCTACTACATAGCGGTAGCCTGTAATCAGAATTCGCAAATTTGAATGCTAGAAAACCGCATTTCGTTCTCTCGTAACGTACCTATGTACTGCATCATAAGGAAACTACGCGTAAGTATGACGCGTCACTAATTGCTTATATTACGAGAGATTATTACGAACGTATTACGTATTACGAACGATATTTTATAAAGATTTACCATCAACCTTATCACAACTTTTATTGGTACAGTTGAAATTTTTATTACAAACAAGATGCATTTTTACACAGGTATTACAAGCATGTGGACAATCCAAATTTCGACGGACGTAGGATAACCTGCATTTACTACATAAATAAGGTTTGTATTTGGTCGCTCGTTTTCGCCAAGTCAATCTCACAGCGTAGCACATTATGGCCATAATAGTCGTCATTGCTGTTTAGAAAGTCTATGCCTATTTAACTAGTCGTTCGATTAGATCCTATCGAGTCAGACGGTCACAGTCTATTCGTGTATGTTGCATATACAAACGAGTCTCCTGTTTCGGATGAAGATAAAACTATAGTTCTAACTATTTATTGCCAAGAAAAATACAAATCTCAAATAAATGCGGGCTCTATTTTATCCATTAGGGGTGGAATGCACAACGAGATGGAGGCGTTCTGCGGATATACCCAGAAACTGATCGAACCCATGTTGCCAGCGTCGAACCTAATCTCGATAGACTTGTGATGTTTTGGTCAGACAGACGAAATCCGCATGAGGTTTGTCACAGTACTATTCTAAATATGAACTTCTTAGCTGCAATGGACCCTTCCATTCACACAAATAGTGTATTATCTAAGATTGAACGGATCTATACATTGTACCTTTACTTTCGTTCCCATATATAGCACTTAACATAACGGCGATGCTATGTAGTTCCATAGCTCCCGTTCATGGTGGAGAAAGTGACTGGTTACATTGTACACCTATAATAGAGGTGTACATCAAATTCGACTGCATCTCTTCTCTGGTACGAGCCTCCTTTTTCTAAGATCTTTTTGTTCCGTTTTTGATGCGTTCCTGCTTTTACCCAAATCTGCCAGGTGCTTCCGTCCGAACGTATTCGCTTCGCTTTAACTGTGTGGTACTTTGACGACAACGAGCTCGAAATGCCGAAGTGTCTCAATGGTGGGGCGCCAAATCCAACGAGTCATTCCAACCGATTTCAACCACTTACCCCTTTCACTTATGACAGTGCGCCGACAACGATAGCCCCTTCAATCGATCCACAACAACAACGACAAATTTAGCACTACCAGGTCCAGCAAATTAGGCTTAACCAACAATAACAGCAACAACAAATGTCACAGCTCTTAACATTAGCAGATGCTTGTTCAAATCGTCAGTATAATAAATATACAAGGAGAACGAGACCGATCGGAACAGTTACATATTATAATTGCTTACCTTTTTGAAGGATGACAATTCCTGGAAGAACTGGCCACGCAGTACGATTGGCTAGTGAATTAAATCTCAAGTTGACGAAAAAGATGACGAAAGACTGTTCCAGATACAAGGAAAAGTGAGGCAATGCGGAATAAATGAGTGAGCCGCTTTTACAGACGCCACCTCTTAAAGCGTCGGCTAAAAACGATGATAGTTAAAAAGAACAATTGACGTTGCGCCGTTCGCTTCACGGAAAGCTACCAAATGGATATCTTAAAATATCAATAATTTATGGGGATGGCACAAGAAAACAACTTTGATTAATTTTCGATGCTATGACGCAAAATTCGGTCAGCGTGTTCGCTCCTATTCAGAGGACATTATTTAAACACCTGAGTGTATGTACATTCGTTTAAAAAAAAATAAAAAAAAAAAAAGAAGGACACGTAAACGTTTACAAAAACGCTGAACCCGGAAAAATGAGCGCCACCTCGTTCTCCGCGTGCTAGCTAATAGAGACGGTAGTAAGGAAAAAACATTCGTACGAATTAAAAATAAAAATGCTAGGTCACATAGCTGGAAACATTTTTCACACACGATCGTTTATTAGCTCTAGTATGTTTGATTTATATCTTACAGTTATATAAGCTCGCAATTGAAATATCATAATAAGGTCATTGTTTCGGAGCTTACATGAATTTCGTGACACTGTCCTAGCTTATAGAATAGACATCCGGTCGTTATGTAGACGTTATGCACGTACAATGTGACAGCTTTTCTAAGCTAGTAAATACGTACGGCTAGTTTATGAGGGCTCAACAATGGCTCACATTTCCTCCACCCTGTTCCTGTATGACAGTCGTCTTAACTAAGACGCCCTCTAGCGTCACTCCTCATACAAGCTCAACTGTACGTACGAGCAGAGCGACGCTACATGGGAACCATTCTATTCTACTTAAGACGATTGGTTTCCCTGTTATTACTGATGATGGCCCTTCCGTCGATGCTCCTTTTGACTATGTAGCTCTCTCGTATATCTATAGCTCACTTCACATTTCTCAAGCTGTCCCTTTTTAATGTATTAGGCTTTCGAATGAATGAAACAGAACGTGCCCTTATATTCTTATTATGAAACCTATGCCGCTATTATGAAACTTGTATTTTTTGCATTATTTATAGATTTTTATGCAGATCCTCTATAGATGGTGCCACTGCGCGTTGCATCGTGGTAAATGTACCGCTTTAGGATTTTATCGTTGACAATCGCCGTCACCTTTGCAGAAAAGCCATAAAACAATAAACATTTGTTTAGGCCAAAGAGCATATTTGGATAGTTTCTAGCCACTGCCTGTTCATATTCGGACTTCGATAATTCCAGGCAGAAATTCTATCTCGAAACATCCAAATTTCTACCTTTAGCGGCATCACGACATCGGGAAAGCTTGTCGAAAGTCTAGACAATAAAGAGCCAGTTGTCAACTCTAACCTTTCTAACCTGTATATAAGGGTCGCACAAGAACTGCCGCTTCTGCGGAATGCTTAGTCGTTATAGGCACTGTAGACCCTTTTGATCCATCTGAATAACAACAAGAGTTGGCGATGAATTTTTCCATAGCGTTTCCATCGATAGATAAGGACCTGTTCTACCATGTTCGCTTTCTCATATGCCGAAGCTATATTATACTCGCAGCGTAGTGACCAAAATGGCGACTCTAGATTAGATATTGTACCCGTTATAAATTATTATATGTAAATGTTATCGCCGCTTGGCGGAAAGCTCAAAGTGCTTCTGTGTTAGTCCTCGAAGTATAATGCATATATATTCGCTCTCTGGAAATACTCTCTGTCATCTCAAGTGACGACATCTTTAGGACCTTACTGTACTAAGCTTTGCATCGATTCTGAAGTAGTATTTGTTAGCCTCTGCAATCGCTGCGCCAATGATTTCATTTTATAAGATACGAATTAGTGCCTTTGGCAGTGATGGAGACAGCGGTTTATGTTAAGCCAGGGCAAACGGTCCGGATTTCACAGAACAGAATCATTGTCGGCTCAGAGTCGCAGCTGACCGAAATGGTCCGCCGTACAATCATCAGTCAGTTGCGGGGGCGCCTGGGCCGTCGTGTGCCACATTTGTCAGTGTCGTCGTTAGTAAATGACGCCTTCTGACGCTCCTCCAAAAGAAGGAATTGACTAGTCTACGGACAAGGGCAGACGAGCTGTGCGCCGAGAAACATGTGGAGCCGTGGTTTGTCGGTGGCAATACGTCCGTGACGTCTGTCTTCATTTCTGCTTATAGGCTGAGACCCGTACTCATCGCTCATTCATAACTCGAAATACAGCAGCTACCCGCCATTCCAGTGACACTACGGTACCGAAAAACTGGCCCCCGCCTGCTTTGTCATGAGGAGTCGCGCATTTGTTCCTTGCAAAGCATCTAACGGCAGTGAAGACTAGGTAGGTTCGAGTTCTTCTTCCCTAGGCTTTTATCTGGAATGGCCGATGCTGTCGTTGAGTTAATTGAGAAACACAACAACAAGTGTCTGTAATGGGAGAAGGTCCAGTGTCGGGCGAGGCGTGCAGAACGGGAATCGTGTTAAGACGTGTTGCGTGCGAAAATAGGTAATTAGGCAGTGGTAAAGGTCGCAGTTGGGAGAATTCTTAGCGATCTCGATCTAGATTGAACCGAAATCTTGGGGGCAAGACACATGGTGACTGACAAGACTGGGTGCAGCAGTGTTGATATGTGCATGTGGAAAAATAGTTTCCTGTCCCACCCCACAACGTGTGAGGTGGGGGGTGGGGAGAGGAGGAGTTATTTGAAATTAGGTGCTGATATCGGAAATGGATAATGATGGAGATGAGTTTCGAGAACGAAAGTGCATTTATCGACTGTATATGGGTTGACAAAGGAGGTGTTGTTGTGAGCGCGTGGTGGTCGGGAAATCGTACCAGTGCCGATGGAAAAATGGTACTCATGAAGTGACAAATGAGTGCCGTATCGCTGACGGTCTTTACTTGAAAAATGTCTTAGCTAGGAGGTGCTAGGATGATTAGGCTGGCCCTGGCTATTGCGTTCGTTCTATTCCAACACATAACCCGGGCCGAGCCGGCTTGAGGGTGACAGTGATCTGTAAGTGTATCTGCCATTCAGCGCATGGTGCTATATGGTACACTGACAATGGAATATACTGGCAACGTCCACTAAGTATTAGCATGTTGCATTGAGCAAAGGAGACGCGAGACAAGTCAAGTAGGCAGCTATGTCAGATCAGGTCATCGTGGGGGATTAATCATATCAACGTCCCCCAGATGCAATAACAGTCTGGTGGACGGCTCACGCTGGCATTGTTATTCTATGACATTCGATAGAGAGAGAAAGAGATAGGAAGAGAGAGAGAGAGAGAGAGAGATAAATAGATAGATAGATAGATAGATAGATAGATAGATAGATAGATAAATAGATAGATAGATAGGTAGGTAGGTAGGTAGGTAGGTAGG